CTCCCCATATAAACAATTGTAAAAATGGTGTCTTTCTCTCTCTAGCTTTTTTCTGTTGGTGGTACTGAAATCAGTGTGCTTCTTACAATCAATGGCATCTTAAAATCTAAGAAATATGGTATTTTCTTTTGTTTCTTCATGCAGAAAATTCAAGGAAATGAATTTTCAGAGGCCCATGTGCTTGACAATTATGTGTTAAGCTTTATTCATTCACAAAATAAGTTTTAATATCCACTGATTCAGGGATTAGTGCCAGTATTTGCAGAAGAAGCCCAATGGATTATGAGACGAATGATAATCTTGTTTGTTGTTTCAGCCTCCCACTGTATGCACTGCATATTTGAAAGAAGCAGACCTCCTTGGTTTATCATTCAGCAAAGATAGTTGTTAAAATAGCACCACTGTTTTATACCAGAATATGTGTTGTCCAAGTTTGCTGGATCATACCAAGCCCCATCTAATCCAGCATTCTGTTTCCAACAGAGATTTCACATGCATAGTTCCAAAACTATGCATGTGAAAAAAACTCTCCAGCAAAGGATCACCGCCTTGTCGGGGCGCTGGAGCTTGAGCACCTCAATGATGTCATGAGCGAAACCGTGAAGGGCCACCCAAGACGGGACGGTTGTGGCAGAGAGGTCAGACCAAGCGTGATCCCTGGGGAAGGCAATGGCAAACCACCCCAGTATCCTTGCCAAGAAAACTAAATGGACCAGTACAACCAGAGATATGTCGGTATGCCATTGGAAGATGGGACTCCCAGGTCGGAAGATGGCCAAAATGCTACTGGGGAGGAGCAGAGGATAAGTTCAACTAGCCCCAGATGTGATTACGCAGCTAGCTCAAAGCCGAAAGGAAGGCTAGCGGCCGACGGTACTGGAGGTGAACGACGAATCCGATGCTGTAAAGATCAACACGCCATAGGAACCTGGAATGTAAGATCTATGAGCCAGGGCAAATTGGATGTTGTTATTGGTGAGATGTCAAGACTAAAGATAGACATTCTGGGGGTCAGCGAACTGAAGTGGACTGGAATGGGCCACTTCACATCAGATGACCACCAGATCTACTACTGCGGACAAGAAAAACATCGAAGAAATGGAGTAGCCTTCATAATTAATAAGAAATTCGCTAAAGCGGTGCTTGGATACAACCCAAAAAATGACAGAATGATCTCAATTCGAGTGCAAGGAAAGCCTTTCAACATCACAGTGATCCAAATATTGCCCCAACCACAGGTGCTGAAGAAGCAGAAGTAGATCAGTTCTATGAGGATCTGCAGGAACTACTGGATAATACACCAAAAAGAGACATTATTTTCATTTACAGGAGACTGGAATGCCAAGGTGGGAAGTCAAATGACAACTGGGATCACAGGCAAGCATGGTCTGGGAGAACAAAATGAAGCGGGACGCAGGCTGATAGAATTTTGCCAGGAAAGCTCGCTGTGTATAACGAATACTCTCTTCCAACAACCTAAAAGACGGCTTTATACATGGACCTCACCAGATGGTCAACACCGAAATCAGATTGACTACATCCTTTGCAGCCAAAGGTGGCGGACATCCATCCAGTCGGTGAAAACAAGACCTGGGACTGACTGTAGCTCAGATCACGAACTTCTTATTGCTCAATTTAGAATAAAACTAAAGAGATCAGGGAAAATACACAGACCAGTTAGATATGATCTCACTAACATTCCTAGCGAATATACAGTGGACGTGAAGAACAGATTTGAAGGACTAGATTTAGTAAACAGAGTCCCAGAAGAACTATGGACAGAAGTCCGCGACATTGTTCAGGAGGCGGCAACAAAGTACATCCCAAAGAAAAAGAAAACCAAGAAGGCAAAATGGTTGTCTGATGAGACGCTGGAAGTAGCCCAAGAAAGGAAGGAAGCAAAAGGAAACACAGTGATAAGGAGATATGCCCAGTTAAATGCGCAATTCCAGAGGTTAGCCAGAAGAGATAAGGAACTATTTTTAAATAAGCAATGCATGGAAGTGGAGGAAGACAACAAAATAGGAAGGACAAGAGACCTCTTCCAGAAAATTAGAAACATTGGAGGTAAATTTCAGGCAAAAATTGGTATGATAAGAAACAAAGATGGCAGGGACCTAACAGAAGCTGAAGAGATCAAGAGAAGGTGGCGATGACTATACAGAAGATCTGTATAGGAAGGATAATAATATTGAGGATAGTTTTGACGGTGTGGTGAATGAATTAGAACCAGACATCCTGAGGAGTGAGGTTGAATGGGCCTTAAGAAGCATTGCTAACAACAAGGCAGCAGGAGATGACAGGATCCCAGCTGAACTGTTTAAAATCTTAAAAGATGATGCTGTCAAGGTGATGCATGCCATATGCCAGCAAATATGGAAAACACAAGAATGGCCATCAGACTGGAAAAAATCAACTTATATCCCCATACCAAAAAAGGGAAATGCGAAAGACTGCTGAAACTTCCGTACAGTGGCCCTTATTTCTCATGCCAGTAAGGTAATGCTCAAGATCCTGCAAGGAAGACTCCAGCAATACATGGAGCGAGAGTTGCCAGATGTTCAAGCTGGGTTTAGAAAAGGCAGAGGAACGAGAGACCAGATTGCCAATATCCGCTGGATAATGGAGAAAGGCAGGAGTTTCAGAAAAACATCTATTTCTGCTTCATTGACTATTCTAAAGCCTTTGACTGTGTGGATCATAATAAATTGTGGCAAGTTCTTGGTGAGATGGGCATACCAAGCCACCTTGTCTCTCTCCTGAGGAATCTGTACAAGGACCAAGTAGCAACAGTAAGAACTGACCAGGAACAACAGAGTGGTTCAAGATTGGGAAAGGCGTACGGCAAGGCTGCATCCTCTCACCCAACCTTTTTAACTTGTATGCAGAACACATCATGCTATGTGCGGGGCTGGATGAATGCAAAGCTGGGGTGAAAATTGCTGGAAGAAACATTAACAACCTCAGATATGCAGATGACACCACTCTGATGGCCGAAAGCGAGGAGGAACCGAGGAGCCTTCTAATCAAGGTGAAAGAAGAAAGCGCAAAAGCCGGGTTGCAGCTAAACATCAAAAAAACCAAGATTATGGCAACAAGAATGATTGACAACTGGAAAATAGAGGGAGAAACCGGGGAGGCCGTGACAGACTTTGTATTTCTAGGTGCAAAGATTACTGCAGATGCAGACTGTAGCCAGGAAATCAGAAGACGCTTACTTCTTGGGAGGAGAGCAATGTCCAGTCTCGATAAAATAGTGAAGAGTAGAGACATCACACTGGCAACAAAGATCCGCCTAGTCAAAGCCATGGTATTCCCTGTAGTAACCTACTGATGTGAGAGCTGGACCTTCGGGAAGGCTGAGCGAAGGAAGATCGATGCTTTTGAGCTGTGGTGTTGGAGGAAAGTTCTGAGAGTGCCTTGGACTGCGAGAAGATCCAACCAGTCCATCCTCCAGGAAATAAAGCCCGACTGCTCACTGGAGGGAAAGACACTAGAGACAAAGTTGAAGTACTTTGGCCACATCATGAGGAGACAGGAAAGCCTAGAGAAGACAATTATGCTGGGGAAAGTGGAAGGCAAAAGGAAGAGGGGCCGACCAAGGGCAAAATGGATGGATGGCATCCTTGAAGTGACTGGACTGACCTTGAAGGAGCTGGGGGTGGTGACGGCCGACAGGGAGCTCTGGGCTGGTCCATGAGGTCACGAAGAGTCGGAGACGACTGAACGAATGAACAACAACAGTTCCAAAAGCTTACAATCAGAACAAGGCATGGATGACAACAGTGTTTTATTTCCACTATCCAGTTCTGAACATGGAGTTTTCATCCACCTATCTTTGTTACTAACAAAGAATATACTTACTGCCAATTTGTTTAAGCCTCTTTCCAGAGCAATCTAAGTTAGCCATAGCCCCACCCAGAGTAAGAAACCAATTGTTGTTGTTATTTTTCATTGGATTGACTTAGGGTGATCCTATACATAAGAGATGTCCCAAAGCCCCCGGTTACCAACTGTCCTGCTCAGGTCTTGCAAACTCAAGATTGAGACCTGATTAATCCAACTGTACTGTAGTCTTCCTCAGTTCCGAAATATCACATAACAGCAACTGCATATACCGTATGATGGCTATTGCCTTGTCCAGATTTGTTTTGAAGTGCCATCTGTATGATCCAACACATATAGCATATATGCAGTTGAAGTAACTGCTCTGGTTTTTGGCAGTCACTGCATAGTAATGTGGGCCATGATGGTGTAGCAGGTTAAACAGCTAATGTGCAGAACTTGCTGACCAGAAGGTCGGCGGTTCAAATCTGTGTGATGGGGTGAGCTCCTGTTGTTAGCCCCAGCTTCTGCCAATCTAGCAGTTTGAAAACATTCAAATGTGAGTAGATCAATAAGTATTGCTTCGGTTGGAAGGTAATGGTGCTCCTTGCAGTCATCCCAGCCACATGACCTAGGAGGCATCTATGGACAATGAAAGCTCTTTGTCTTAGAAATTGAGATGAGCACTTCCTCCCAGAGTTGGACTCGACTAGACTTAATGTCAAGGGGAAACCTTTACATAGTAATAAGTGGGACAGCTATGTGTGCACCATTCTCATATTGCTTCCACAATGTACATACCTCTCTTTTCCTTCTCTCTCAGTTTTTCTCTCATGATCTTGCACCTGCGCCTGCCTCCATTCATGCATGCATGGTCTAGCTGTGAGTCTGGCAGTACCCCAATAGTCATCAGTTATAATTTCACAGTGGCTGACTTGTGTGAATCATCTGTCATTTTTTGATTCGTTTTTTCTGTTGTGTCTCTCCTTGCTCATTAAATCTAGATGGTGGTATTGTGGTGGATTTTTACTTGTTACAGGCTATTTTGTGAGAATACTGAAGTGTATACTCAAAGTGCTTATGCTCAAACCGCTTATGATTGAAGCACTACTATTAGTCATTGGTATTGCCATGAATATGAATCTGACCTTCAATTGAATTTTTCTCAACTGCAGGTTGATGACACAATTTCCATGAGCTATCTCTTCTCCGAGAGCATTATCAGAAGTTGGCTGGACTAATGAATGAAAAGTTCACTGAGATGACATAGTGAAGGAGGCAAGATCATGGTGCAGCGGAAGAGAAGCTGTCCTCGCCTACTTGATTACCTTGTGATTATTGGAGCCAGGTATAATAGCAACATTCCAGATGTGAATTGCATAATATGAACATATACAGGATTAGGGGCAGTTGTGAAGAGGAAAGCCTATGAATTAAATTGAACTCTTAATGCCAAGTAGAGTAGACCTATTGAATCAGTGGGAACTTAGTAAATAGACACTTATGTAAATCTCATTGATTCAGTCAGTCTGTTGTAACTGTGATTAACAATTTTATCCCTGTATTGGTGAACAGCTGTTGGTGGCATCAGTGGTAATAAGTAATTTACAGCTGGTGAATGTGGCAGTGTGCCTCATGAAGATAGCCCCTGTCTCCTTTTACTCTTGATTTCTGTAGTGTAGTCAGGACATTTAATGCTTTCTATCTAAGCTCATTGACTGTTGCTCCCTTTGGATGTTGCTTTAAACCATATGTTCAAAAGCAATATTAAAGCACATAGTTAATGCTTATTCATTTAAAATGCAGGTATACCCCAGTTAATGAAGTCAGTGTATTCTGCGCATTTCCTCTTTTGCAGAAAATTGGACACTAGAGGCATAGATGTACCTTGTAAATCGTTGTATTATTGAGTTGTGACTATACAGAGACTGTTGCATATATAGTGCTGTTAGTTTGAACCCTTAATTGGATTCATCCAGCAGTCTGTACAGCAGTTACAGACTTTTTCTTTCCACCACTGCCCATTTTGGATCAGGATGATGTGACAGGTGAATATCCTGATTCACTTCAAATCTGACCCACAAAATCATTTTAAAGTTCTCATGATGAGGAACTCGTGACTCATCTCCCTTAGTAAGCCTCCACAGAGTCACAATTCCAGCAATTCCAGAAAGGACTTATAGTATTTGCATTATACAAATGTATTATGAGTGTTGTTTTTCTGTATAAAAGTAATTTGGCATTTGCATTCTTTGCAGGCAACCAAGCAGTGATAGTGTGGCACAGACACCCGAACTACTGCGTCGTTATCCTCTAGAAGATCACACTGATTTCCCACTTCCTCCAGATGTAGTCTTCTTCTGTCAGCCTGAGGGATGTTTAAGTGTTCGCCAGAAGCGTATGAGTTTGCGAGATGACACTTCTTTTGTTTTTGCACTCACAGATAAAGATACAGGAGTTACTCGCTATGGAATATGTGTCAATTTCTATCGCTCCTTTCAGAAGCGTTTGCCCAAGGAGAAAGGGGAAGGCAGTGGTGGACATCGTGTCCGAAATGGGCAGAAAGCACCCAAATCTGGGGATGCTTCCACTGCTCAAGAAGAAAAAGGGAATGAGAGTTCAGAAAGTGGTGGTTCTCTGCAACCACCAAGCACAGAGTCTGCCTCTGATGGGAATCGATCGCCTCGGAGTAAACGTTCATCCAAAGGCACTCACCGCTCTCGTAACAGCACCCTAACCTCACTCTGCGTCATTAGTCACTATCCATTTTTCTCTACATTTCGTGAATGTCTGTATACTCTGAAGAGGCTGGTGGACTGCTGTAGTGAGAGACTGTTAGGAAAGAAGTTGTCGATCCCACGAGGAGTGCAAAGGTATATAAGAGGAAGACATGCTTTTCTCTGATGCCTTACTTACTTACTTAAAAATAATTTTTCACTTTCTCATTTCACTTTGCAAAAAATATTTTCATTGATTTTATTGTGTTATGTCATCCTTGATTGTCCTCACCAGCAGTAATTTAAATTAACCGTAATACAAAAATCATAGAATCATAGAATCATTGAGTTGGAAGAGACCTCGTGGGCCATCCAGTCCAATCCCCTGCCAAGAAGCAGGAAAATCGCAATAAAATATTCAATATAAACGGGCTGGCAGAACGTTGGATAAGCTAAAATGTTGGATAATAAGGACGGATTAAGGAAAAGCCTATTAAATGTCAAGTTAGGTTATGATTTTACAAATTAAGCACCAAAACATCATTTTTTTGCAACAAATCAACAGAAAAAGCAGTTCAGTACATGGTAATGTTATGTAGTAATTACTGTATTTATGAATTAGCAATGTATTGAAACACCTGTGGATCCGGGTGGAAGGCAGACTGCGTTGGATAATACAGAACGTTGAATGAATGAAGGTTAGATAAGTGAGATACTATTTTATATCAAAAGTGTTTCCTTATGTAGTCAGCAAAAAAACAAAAATACTTCCAAAACCCCAAAACTTGAAAGTCTTAGGAAAGCAAAACCTCTCTTTCCTCTTATATTCAACAAAACAGTTCCAAATCACTGTAAAATGTGTTTCTCTTTCTTTGATTATTTCAAGTGTGTTATTTTATTTTTCATTCAAAACCAGCTGTTATACTTTATTATGCCAGGCTGTCATTATATCCAGAAATTCCCTTTAGATGTTTCCAAAATCCAGTAATGACCAGTCTTATAGCTATTAATAGATACCCAATTAAAAGTTCATGAGATGCCTTTCACTGACTCCCTGAAAGAAACCCAGGAGGAACAGTTCTGGAGACTTTGTAAGATGCTGGTTAATGGTATATTTTATTAGTTTCACACATTTGATACTTAATTTCAGTGGCACCATAAATATTGACAGGGACCTTTAATTTTACAACCTCACGATCAGTGAAGGGAAAGAAATTAAAGGCCCCTGTCAATATTTGTGGTGGGATTGAAGTCAAGCATCAAATTTTGGAAAACAGTATTTTCTGATATATGTAATATCATTGTACCAGAGTAAAAAACCATTATGCAAACCATTTAATTAAGTTACTTCTTATTGAAGTAGAGATGCTTTTGAAAGGGAACTTACGCAACATATCCATTTTTTCTTATCTAGGCAAATATCAAAGTTCCCTGTGTTCTTTGGAAACTATCTGAAGCGCTCATGTCAACATTATTATGTATATGGGGGACAAATCTCAATCCATCATATCTAGCGTGATTTCAAATGGAGTAAGCTCCAGAAAAGTTGAAACTTGACTGCATGGCTAGTCAGCTGATGTTACCAACCTGATACGATGCAAGCCAATTGAAAGTCAAACACTTAAGTTGATTCTTCCACAGATCTCATGAAAGTGGTTGGGCATCAGTATACAAATCTTGTAATTACTTAATACTATCTTATAAAAATGTTTTACATTGAATTGCGTTTCTTCTGTAAGAAACTCTAAATGACAATGGAATTAGATTAATGATGAAATACTAGGCATCAGAGCCTCTTCTCTGTGTCCATATTCAAAATGGACAATTCTAGAAGTGATTTCATTTATCCAGGTCTGACTAAATATGTCTAGGCGTTTTCTGGGTCCTCAGGGGTGACTCTATGGTATTTTTGGACCAGAAATCCTTAATTTTGATAGTTTGCTATGATCCACGGTTTCACATATCCATGTATAGTCTTGAAATGTGTCCCCCATGGATACAGGGGTTTTACTGTAATGATTTTTCAGTTTGTATCCACTGCTGATCTTGCTTTTTGTTTATCAGAGTAAATAAATGGCACTACTGATAAATGAATAAATGAATATTGAAATTCTGGGAATTTGTAATCTGAGTGGAGAGAGGAATATTGAAACGAATAAGATTAAAAGGTAAAGGATTCCCTTTGACATTAAGTCTAATTGAGTCCGACTCTGGGGGGTGGTGCTCATCTCCATTTTTAAGTCAAAGAGCTGGCGTTGTCTATAGACACCTCCTAGGTCATGTGGCCAGCATTACTGCATGGAGCACCGTTACCTACCCGCCAAAGCGGTACCTATTGATCTCACATTTGCTTGTTTTTGAACTGCTAGGTTGGCAGAAGCTGGGGCTAACAACAGGAGCTCACCCCATCCCATGGATTCGAACCACTGTCCTTCTGGTCAGCAAGTTTTGCAGCTTACAGGTTTAACATGCTGCACCACCACAACCTCCTAGATAAGATTAGAGTTGTGAAATTAAACTTTAGTCCAAACTTTGCAAAATCTTCACATTTGATTTACAGATTGAAGTGCTTCTATCAAAATAACATAATAATTTGATTTCTGGATCTCAACCCCTTTAATCTCTAGTGCAGAGCTAATATAGTTAGTCAGAAACTTGATTACTAAAATTAACAAATGATGAAATAATGGAGCTCCTGTTTCGTGCTACTTGTTATGGCAATGGGTCTGGAATCTGGATTATTAATCTGTTCTTCAGCAATTGATGGGAAATAAATAGCAGAAATATATTTAAATTTGGGGTGAATCAATTAAATTTGCAACAGAATGGGAATCACCCATTAATGCTGTCAAAAACTTCAAAATCAGATGCTGGAAGATGCCTTATACCAATTATACCAAACAGGCTGTGTATTGAATAGCACTTTATGAGTTACAAATCCACATTGATCAGGATTCAACCATTCATGACTTAAAAAATATTAAACATTTTTTTCCAAAAGGCAAACCTTGATTTTGCCCTTTTATATAGGGGACCTATTACTACACAATTATATATAATGGGACTTGATCATCCACAGATTTTAGAATCCCTGGGGGATCATGGAGCCAAACCCCAGTGGATACTACCATAACCAGAGACTGGGAACTAATGGCTTGAGGACTATCATTCATTCATGAATCCTCACATTGAATTCCACAAATAAAGCCACTTTAGGGTCCTTATATAATCTATCTAAGGTATGGATTAAAGTTAAAGGTCAAGGTAGGCGATAGTTACCACGGGCTAGATTCTGTGTGAGTAATCTGGTAGGTCTGATCTATAACAATGGGTTATCATTTCTTAAAATCTTTCAGGTGCCCTAAAACAACTTCTTGTTTTTATTGAAGCATTCCTATAGTCAGATAATTTCATCTGAATGGTCAGGAGAATGACATAATATTTTTATGTTGCTTTATGTAGGGATACAATGTGGCGGATATTCACAGGTTCCCTTCTCGTGGAAGAGAAATCCAGTGCATTACTACATGATTTGCGTGAAATTGAAGCCTGGATCTATCGACTGCTCCGTTCCCCTGTGCCTGTTGCTGGCCAGAAGCGTGTGGATGTGGAAGTCTTGCCACATGAATTGCAGCCAGCCTTGACGTTTGCGCTCCCTGATCCATCCCGGTTCTCTCTGGTGGATTTCCCTTTGCATCTGCCCTTGGAGCTGTTAGGCGTGGATGCCTGTTTGCAGGTGTTGTCTTGCATTCTCCTAGAACACAAGGTAAGAGGGAAATGGATCAATTTAGTTGTAGGCATTTCAGGAGATGAGGGTGCATTTCACAGCATTACAATTAGAAATGTAAAACTGATATCTGGAGTCTTTTTGAGACCCTGTGCCCCTATGAAAATAATTGTGCAAGTGACGGACATTGCGCCACGATGTAAATATTTTTTTCCAATTGCTGAACTTTACCAGGGGTTGTCCTTGGTGCAGCCAGTCATCCTAAATGTGGTCCTCAGTGCAGCCAGTCATCCTAAGAGTGGTGAGTGAACTCATAACATGTATAATCAGCTGTAAAGCTGTGGGATCCAGCATCGCCGTGTTGTATATTTGCACCACTCTAAAAGTGCATATGATTTTTGTTTGTATAAGGAAACTAGTGTTTGTCACAGTGAAGAGTTTTCTTGTTGGTATAACAAGGAGACTTCAGGGTTATTCATAAAGCTTTCTTTAATTATGAAATAGTATTGAATTAATGGGAATTGTGGTAGCACTGGACTGCAGTAAATACAGAAGTGGAATATGTATGTTATCATATCAGGAGGGAATAGATTTGAAATTGTTTTAAAATGACTTTTCCTGGTTGTAGGTAGTTCTGCAATCTCGGGACTATAATGCCCTTTCCATGTCTGTTATGGCATTTGTGGCTATGATATATCCGATGGAGTACATGTTCCCTGTGATTCCACTCCTTCCTACCTGCATGGCTTCTGCAGAACAGGTATGATAATTCTTCAGTGAAGGGAGAGCATTGATGCTTTCACTAAAACCTTTTGTAGACAATCATACACCCTTTGTCCAAGGGCCCTTTCACACTATACTGTACAATTATAACTTTAACTGCCATTTTGTGGAATCCTCAGCTGCCTCACCAATCTACAAACTTCAGGATTCCATAGGATCCACTCATAGCAATGATAATGGAATAATTATACTATAATTGTATAGGGTCCTAACCTGGGTTTGGAGGCATGCCAGTCAGTCCTGGATGGGGCTACATTCTCCTGAAAGGCTGTTTGCAGCTTGGCAGTGCTTCCTCCAAATGACATCCCAGATAGATGCAACTATCAGGAGTGTTTATTTTTTTTAGCAGTGTTACACTAGCTGTACCCCTTTGACAGCTGGAGTACCTAAGGATAGTAGTGCATGCACTGGTAACCTCAAGGCTGGACATCTGCAATGCACTGTACATTGAGCTATCTCTGTACTTAGTTTGAAAACTTTTGTTAGTTCAGAATATGGTAGCAGGTTGATTACTGTTACACCTAGGAGTGACCATATTATATTTATATCAAATCACCACATTGTCATCCAGTTAATTTCTGGGCAAATTACAAAGTGTTGATTATTACCTTTGGTTCAGACTGGGTTATCTGCAAGATCATCTCTTCCTGTATAATGTACCCCATACACCCAGGACCTCTGTGAAGTATCTACTTTAGTAGGCCAAAACTAAGCTAATTGTTCTCTAGATGGCATTTTCTTCAGCCATCTTCAGACTCTGGAGTGACCTTTCAGAAGAGATTCATCATCTTGAGATGCTGTGTTTGGGTTTAAATCAGCAGTAAAGATCAGTCTGCTGAGACACTGGAAGTAGCCCAAGACAGGAGGAAAGCAAAAGGAAACAGGGATAAGGGGAGATATGCCCAGTTAAATGCGCAATTCCAGAGGTTAGCCAGAAGAGATAAGGAACTATTTTTAAATAAGCAATGCATGGAAGTGGAAGAAGACAACAGAATAGGAAGGACAATAGACCTCTTCCAGAAAATTAGAAACATTGGAGGTAAATTTCAGGCAAAAATTGGTATGATAAGAAACAAAGATGGCAGGGACCTAACAGAAGTTGAAGAGATCAAGAGAAGGTGGTGAGACTATACAGAAGATCTGTATAGGAAGGATAATAATATTGAGGATAGTTTTGACGGTGTGGTGAATGAATTAGAACCAGACATCCTGAGGAGTGAGGTTGAACGGGCCTTAAGAAGCATTGCTAACAACAAGGCAGCAGGAGATGACGGGATCCCAGCTGAACTGTTTAAAATCTTAAAAGATGATGCTGTCAAGGTGATGCATGCCATTTGCCAGAAAATATGGAAAACACAAGAATGGCCATCAGACTGGAAAAAATCAACTTATATCCCCATACCAAAAAAGGGAAATGCGAAAGACTGCTCAAACTTCCGTACAGTGGCCCTTATTTCTCATGCCAGTAAGGTAATGCTCAAGATCCTGCAAGGAAGACTCCAGCAATACATGGAGCGAGAGTTGCCAGATGTTCAAGCTGGGTTTAGAAAAGGCAGAGGAACGAGAGACCAGATTGCCAATATCCGCTGGATAATGGAGAAAGGCAGGGAGTTTCAGAAAAACATCTATTTCTGCTTCATTGACTATTCTAAAGCCTTTGACTGTGTGGATCATAATAAATTGTGGCAAGTTCTTGGTGGGATGGGCATCCCAAGCCACCTTGTCTCTCTCCTGAGGAATCTGTACAAGGACCAAGGAGCCACAGTCAGAACTGACCACGGAACAACAGACTGGTTCAAGATTGGGAAAGGCGTCCGGCAAGGCTGCATCCTCTCACCCAACCTTTTTAACTTGTATGCAGAACACATCATGCGATGTGCGGGGCTTGATGAATGCAAGGCTGGGGTGAAAATTGCTGGAAGAAACATTAACAACCTCAGATATGCAGATGACACCACTTTGATGGCCGAAAGCGAGGAGGAGCTGAGGAGCCTTCTAATCAAGGTGAAAGAAGAAAGCGCAAAAGCTGGGTTGCAGCTAAACATAAAAAAAAACAAGATTATGGCAACAAGAATGATTGACGACTGAAAAATAGAGGAAGAAAACATGGAGGCAGAGACAGACTTTGTATTTCTAGGTGCAAATATGTCTGCAGATCGGCCCTAGGTAATTTTCAATGGTAAGCAAACATTATTTTGGCGCCCCCTCCCCCCAACCAATCACTGAAAAATAAAACGTAGAAGGTAGAGGTGAATAAAAGAGTTACCTTACAAACCAGAAATTTACTTACAACATTATGTTTATATAGTTACATTACACAAATTAACTTTTTTAAGAATGCAAATATTTTACTAAACTTAGCAACAATTTTAAGTTTTTGTTGTTATTTTTGGTCTACAAGTACTACACAAGGTTTCCTGGTCATGCTGTCTCTTCAGAGAAGATTTTTCAGACTAGGGGTTTGCTAATAACAGAGAACTCAATCCCATGCTTGTTGGGTCTGTCAATCAGATTTGTTTTGGAGAACGCAGCCCCAGGAGAATAGACACCTCCTTTTTAAGAAAGTGAACTCTTGTCCTTCAAAAGTGCCATGCCAGCCTGGACCATTACAATGGGTGTGGCAACATAGTCAGCCTCTGGCCCCTTCACTTTAGTGGATACTTTAACATCCAGTTTTCCTTAACACAAATAAACTTGAACACTTTTAAAATTAAAAAGAGATTTTTCTGGCTTTCAATTTTGAAAACTCGTGTACTATTATATCTGTTTCCATTTCATCCAACAAGCCATTTTCAATGGCCAAGGTTGCTAGTCCACTCAAGCGCTCTTGACTCAAAGTTGATCTTAAATACGTTTTTATAAGTTTTCTAAGATCTACAGAGACACTCGCTGGAACACCTCAGCAAGCGAGAGTCCAAAAGTGGCAGGCTCAAACCCAGAAGGCTGATACCAGATGAGAGACTCCCCCCTGGGCACACAGAGGACTGGGCGACTTGGAAATGGAAAGGAATCACACAGGATCATATTTTTGCAGTCCATTAAGTGTGTTGATGACAAATCAGATAAAGGAATACTGGGGAAATTAATATAAAGCAGTGTGTATAAAGGGACATTACATTTGGTAATCTAATGCAGGCTTTAAAAGGTTTTAAAGATCAAGTCAGGGTCTGCTGCAGTTTTTAGTTTTGGATATGTTTTTTATGGATTTTAACTGAATTTTTAAAATACCAATGATATTTAATTCCATTTTAATGTTTGCATATTTGTGGATTTTAGACTGTACTGAAATGTTTTTAATCTAAGCCAACTTGAGTCTTCTTGGGGAGAGAAAAAGCAGGGTATAAATAAACATAATAATGTGTTGTGGAAGGCTTTCATGGCCAGAATCACTGAGTTGCTGTGAGTTTTCTGGGCTGTATGGCCATGTTCCAGAAGCATTCTCTCCTGACATTTTCCCCACATCTATGGCAGGCAACCTCAGAGGAACAAAATCTGGCTACCAGTACCCTCTAAAATAACCCTCTAAAATCAGAACAATAAATAAAGAGCAACACTAAAAAAGGGGGGAATTCCTGACATGAAGCAATCAGGGCCAGTTAACCGCTCCCAACAAAGGATTCCTGGGCAGCAACTAGCTCGGCTTCGAAGCTGCAAGGCCATTAAATACTCATCAAGATGACCAATTGCAACATTCACACTTACCTCAAGCAGACATGAGTTCTTTTTCCCACCCTGGACATTCCACAGATATACACTCCCACTTGCCTAGTTTCCAACAGACCTCACAACCTCTGAGGATGCCTGCCATAGCTGTGGGTGAAACGTCAGGAGAGCAGTTTACCAAGCACCTAAGAACATTCTGAGCTCCACCAACAATAGAATTGAACCAAACTTGGCATACAGGACTTCCATGACTAACAGAAAATACTGGAGAGGGGGTTGGGAAAATAGACCCTGACATTTGGGAATTGCAGTTTACCAAGCACCAAAGAACATTCTGAGCTCCACCAACAATAGAATTGAACCAAACTTGGCATACAGGACTTCCATGACTAACAGAAAATACTGGAGAGGGGGTTGGGAAAAATAGACCCTGACATTTGGGAATTGCAGTTTACCAAGCACCAAAGAACATTCTGAGCTCCACCAACAATAGAATTGAACCAAACTTGGCATACAGGACTTCCATGACTAACAGAAAATACTGGAGAGGGGGTTTGGGAAAAATAGACCCTGACATTTGGGAATTGCAGTTTACCAAGCACCAAAGAACATTCTGAGCTCCACCAACAATAGAATTGAACCAAACTTGGCATACAGGACTTCCATGACTAACAGAAAATACTGGAGAGGGGGTTGGGAAAAAACCCTGACATTTGGGAATTGCAGTTTACCAAGCACCAAAGAACATTCTGAGCTCCACCAACAATAGAATTGAACCAAACTTGGCATACAGGACTTCCATGACTAACAGAAAATACTGGAGAGGGGGTTGGGAAAAATAGACCCTGACATTTGGGAATTGCAGTTTACCAAGCACCAAAGAACATTCTGAGCTCCACCAACAATAGAATTGAACCAAACTTGGGCATACAGGACTTCCATGACTAACAGAAAATACTGGAGAGGGGGTTGGGAAAAATAGACCCTGACATTTGGGAATTGCAGTTTACCAAGCACCAAAGAACATTCTGAGCTCCACCAACAATAGAATTGAACCAAACTTGGCATACAGGACTTCCATTACCAAATACTAGAGAGGTTTGGGGGAGGCATGTACAAAAGATGACATTTGCAGTACCTTTTGAGGAGGCCTCCTTGCTGCCCTGAGAGGGGTCCAGGCTCAGCTGCAGGGAAGGGAAAGCGAAAGCGAAAGAGCCTGGCTGGCTGCCTCCTGGCAGCACGTGGAGGGAGGACTTCCCTCTCGCGTAGTGGGCGGGCCTGCGCTTCTCCATTAGAAGGCTGTTGAGGGCGCATGGGGCCTGCAGGAGGAGGCGTGGCCTAAGGACAAAACAGCGCCCCCTGGCAAAAAAAGTATTCCGCCACCGCTTACTTCGAGTAATGGACGGCCGGCCCTGATAGTATCCTTGCAGACTGTGGCCAGGAAATCAGAAGACGCTTCCTTCTTGGGAGGAGAGCAATGTCCAATCTCGATAAAATAGTGAAGAGTAGAGACATCAGACTGGCAACAAAGATCCATTGCCTAGTCAAAGCCATGGTATTCCCTGTAGTCACCTACGGATGTGAGAGCTGGACCTTAGGGAAGGCTGAGCGAAGGGAGATCGATGCTTTTGAGCTGTGGTGTTGGAGGAAAGTGCTGAGAGTGCCTTGGACTGCGAGAAGATCCAACCAGTCCATCCTCCAGGAAATAAAGCCCGACTGCTCACTGGAGGGAAAGATACTAGAGACAAAGTTGAAGTACTTTGCCACATCATGAGGAGACAGGAAAGCCTAGAGAAGACAATTATGCTGGGGAAAGTGGAAGGCAAAAGGAAGAGGGGCCGACCAAGGGCAAGATGGATGGATGGCATCCTTGAAGTGACTGGACTGACCTTGAGGGAGCTGGGGGTGGTACGGCCGACAGGGAGCTCTGGCGTGGGCTGGTCCATGAGGTCACGAAGAGTCGGAGACGACTGAACGAATGAACAACAACAAAGATCAGTCTCTTTTGGTATGCCAATCCCAATTATTTTAAATTATGATTTTATGAATTTTAATATGTATTAGTTTAGTATATTATTTTTGCTGATGTTTTGTGTTGTCCTAGTCATTGTTGTTACCTGCTTTGATCCACAATGAGAGGTGGATAAGAATAACAGGAACAACAACAACATAAAAGAGCCCCAGCTCTGTATATTGCAGTCTTCTTGTTTCATCTTCTCTAAAATAATTTAATTGCAATGCTTGTATTTTTGTCAGGAGAGCTAAAAGGGGGAAAAGTTACCTCTTATTACTGTTTTCTGCCTGTTACAGCTACTTCTGGCCCCAACGCCCTATATCATTGGAGTCCCAGCCAGCTTCTTCCTTTACAAACTAGATTTTAAAATGCCAGATGATGTATGGCTAGTTGATCTGGACACCAATAAGGTATGTAATTTCCGTTTTAAGGAAGAGGTAAATATAATTCCATTTGGGGAGTCTGTATAGGCATCATTATCACCCACCATGATCACCATTTATTTAGGTAACACGATTGATGTACATGACACTTTATAAGTTAAAAACAGTTCTATAGATCCTGCCAAATGTGTACAATCTAAAATATATTTGTATATGCAGACAGATTCACACAAAGAAGGAAGGAACGCTTTTCCAGATAAAATACAAAAAATACAATATAATGTAAAGCAAACTGACTAATACATAAAATCAAAATATACATGATAATACACCACAGCATATTTAAATTCCTTATGTCTTTGTGAACTAGAATTAAGGTTAATATAGTGTGAGCTAGGTCACATTTTAAATGAAGTGATCAGAAATTAAAGCCATCAGTTTAACAGTTCGGAGTTCAGCTCTGCTAGTCAACCCACTGCAAACACACAGAAAGTTAAATCCAGGAGCAAGCTTCCTACACCCTCTTTTCTCACCTTAGTTTATTTCCAAGCATTCTATTCCTAAAATGTTTGTAGTTGAAATTTAATTTTGAAAATTTAATTCCAGGTTATTGTTCCTACAAATGCTGAGTTACTGCCTGTTTTGCCAGAACCTGAAGTTTTGGAATTGAAAAAACACCTGAAACAAGTATGTGACCAAACAAAATGTATGGTTAGGAGTTTTAGAGCTAATAATTTAGATAGGCTAGCCACAGTGCTTTCTAGTAATTCTAAACGACTGTCTAACATTATGTCTGAACTAGCTGTTCTGGATCATGTCTTGGGGTACTATTTTTAATCTCTTTGCAGCTGGACCTATTCACATTAACATTTTGATGTGGTAATTAAACTTTGAAATTAGCGTGAATTATTATTTTTGTACAGTTATCCGTTATATTACCATTTGTGCTTCACACTGTGTTAAGCTGTGGTTAACCACATACTTATTCAATCCAATATTTCAAACATTTTGGACCCTAAGCTGCAACACAGATATATCAGAGAGTTGTAAACATTAGACACAGAATAAAATGGCTTGTTACTATATTTCAAAGAGTTATTTATAGTGTCAATATCTTTACAGAGCTCATTTTCCATCCACATTCTGACCTTTTGGAATCTCTGGATTTTCACTAGAATAGTTTGCCTATTAATCATATTTTATCCATTTTCAATTCATATTGTTGCTGAAGAAGCCCACATCTCCACCTTCCCTCCCTCATCTTCCTGGTTTTAAGGTGTTATTTATTGTTTGGGGTCAAGTTGGTTCATTCTGACAGAATAGATTTTATGTCTTTATTTCTATTATCTACTTCTGTTCCTCCTTCCTCTTCCTTGCATGCTGCATGCAGTATTTAAAGGTAAAGTGTTATAGTAATAATATAAGAGCTGCTGTTTATGTCTCCCATAGAACAGCAGAACTATATATTTAACAGTTTGTGATTCCCTGAGTAAATTGCTGTAGTGCACAGCTATTGACCCTACAGTAAAATCAACAGAATCTGTTTGCTTTTCTCTCTCCACAGTTTAAGGGGCTTTCAGCAAAATACCCACACATCTGAGTGATGTAAACAGAACTGACCAAATTGTATTACTGCTTCCACCCATCAAAGGAAAGAAATAAAACATTTCTCTTCACAGAGCAGGAAGAAAATTGGCAAGGTCAAGAAAGTGCCTATGATTTGACAAAGCAGGAATGATAATGAGAAATCTTGACAACAGCATTAAGCATGCATGCATATTAGATTTATGGCTATGTTCTTATCTGTTCAGAATAGTCTCACTTCAGTTGTTTTTTCAAAGAACATGTCAATAAACAGATGTGTGGAAGTAAAGCTGTCTGGCCACCCTAATGAACTGTGCTTATTTATGATCCCTTTTTTTATTTCCCTTTTTCATCTGTGGTATTAGTAGTAATAGTTTTTTCTCCATCTGTCTCCCTGTGGTCATGTGTTCGTCTTGGCTCTGATTGTCCTCTGGTGTTGTCATGTGATCTTCCATCTTGCCTCCAGTGTCTGGTTAGCATGACTGCAATCACTCAGCAACAGCTGCTCACGCCTGACAAAAAGGTGTCTTTATTTTACTCTTTTCTCCCTCAAATCTCCATTGGATTATTTTTTTAAACATGTCTTGATTTATTGGCTTTAGTAAATTAATGGGAAATTTGGGTAAATTAGTAAATTAATGGGAAATTTGGTGAAAGACATTAGTGGGGGACCCTAAAGCACATGTGTCAAATACAAGGCCTGTGGCCCAAATCTGTCCTACATTATTTTATGTGGCCTGTGAGGCTTTCAGGCAACATAGTTATACTTACAATCATAATCAGTCCTTTGAAGACAACCATAAGGCTGAAAATGAGTTTGCCACTCTTGCCCTAAAGCAATAAACATGGAAAACAAGATTTGTGGAAGGTCTATAATCTTTATAAAATTAAGGATGAGAAAAGATTACTCTAATAAGATCCATACAACTAAAATCCAAACTTTCAAATTCCTTTCTGGCCAGTATATACATAAATGTTGGAAACAGCGCATTGTACTAAGAATATGGGCTTATCTGACTATCTGCAGTGATGAAGAATGTATTAAACTGTATCTTTATTGGGTAATTAGCAAAGCTGAGGATCTTATGGTGAATGGTAATCATACTAGTAACATTTATGGATGTAGTTTTTTAATTGTTGTTCAAGATGTTTATATATTGGCCTCCTAAACTTTATCTCAGATTGCTCTGCAATGCAGGTTAAGATCCAAGGTGTTACTAATAAAACTATAAGCTGTGACAAGCATTAATCAGCAGAGTGAAAAATGTATAGAACTACAAATGTTGAACAGATTAAATTATTAAAATGCCTGAGAAAATCAAGAATTTTTGACCTAAAATATAACAAAGATAATTTGGTGTACTTCCATGGCTAGGATGACTGGAAAACTATGCAATTTGGGAAGTGAAAGTGCTGAGTGGGAGCACTCTAGCAAGGACTTAAGTGGAACTATTTAGCATTCTGACATGTATATACAGGAGTAGGTAAGATACCATAGTCTCAAGCTGTGAAAGTATTAAAAGTTAAAACGAGCATCTTTGGATTCAGAGAGAACTAGCAGTTTCTCCCATCCAATATGCAACTTGTGCCCAAATGCTTAAAAGTGGTGAGCCTCTTACTGTTGTCCTTCTAATACCAAAGAAGTAGTCCTCAGTTATGTTCTCAAAACTGCTGATGTGGTATAGGATTGTGTTTCTACATTTTGAATGTATTACAATATGTTTAACATATTTCACTAATCATCTGTTTATACAGTTTAACTACTGAAAGGATACAGTTACTGTAATCTTGTTAGTTAATTATATATTTAGGGACATACTAAAATGTTCTAGATTAACAATTTTCTCTCCTACCTCATACTACTTGGCCTGGAGCATTTTCGAAATTTCTCGTATAACAGATTAAGCCCTATTAACACTCTATCTCTTGTTTGTAAAATGATAGTAAGATCCTTCTGCCTTTTTTGCTGTGATTGCTCCAAAAGGCTAGTTGAATGTTGCTAAAGGGTTTCTGATCTGCATTGAATCAATCTTGTTAACATTTTGTGGATGCATCTGTGTATATTTATATAGCATATCCTTGACCACTTAATTGTTATGAGAGATAATGGGAAATTGTTATGAGAGATAATGGGAAATTGTTATGAGAGATAGTGGGGAAGCACATTCAGTTTTTGTTTTTAACAAATAAGAACTGAAATAGTTGCCTGTAAATTACAGTCAACTAGAACACTGGACTTGGTTCAGGATTGCTCTTGGAGTCAGGCGGTATTGGGAATGCCACTGTTGTTTATTATACTTGTGCACTGTTGCTCTTTAGGCTTTGGCCAGCATGAGTTTGAATACCCAGCCCATCCTTAACCTAGAAAAGTTTCATGAAAGTCAAGAGATCCCACTACTTACAGGAAAACCTCAGAATGACCTACAATCCACACCTTCTACAGAATTCAACCCCCTGATCTATGGCAATGATGTAGATTCAGTGGATGTGGCCACAAGGTATGTCTGGGCAATATTCTGTTGCTACATTTACCAACACATGGGAACGTTGTTGCTCTGTCACATAGTAAATGTTAGAAGATATACTTTCCCTTCAGAATATCCTGAGTTCAATCCTTGAGGCTTCCAGGCAGGATTAGGTGGAAAAAACCTTAACTGAAACTATGGAGAGCCATTGCCAGTCCATGTAGCCATACTGGGCTAGATGCACCAGTATTCTGGGGCACATATTCCTGTGTTACTTTCAAATAAAAATAAATGTGTATGGACGAGACACCAACTCTTTGGTTTACCATAAGGCTTTCACACTATTTCTGCAGTCAGTGTTCCACAGCATTGCAAAGTGAAATGTAAACACATATAGGGGTTGTTTCTATACAGTCTCTTGCTTTGATATACAGCAGTCCTATGAACCTAGCCATTGCCAGAAATCTTGAGTGGCTAGTGTGAAATAGATACATTCAAAGGTGGGATGAGACCAGCATTATCTTTATGTTCTAGGCTCTGAAGTTTTTTTTAGTATACTGATCTTCCTGTGTTGTTTAGATCTCTCTGGGTTTGTTAGCATAATTACCAAACTTTCCTTTTTTTAGGGTTGCCATGGTAAGATTCTTCAATTCGCCAAATGTTCTACAAGGATTCCAGATGCATACGCGTACACTTCGCCTCTTTCCTCGACCAGTGGTGGCATTTCAGGCCAATTCCTTCTTGGCCTCACGGCCAAAGCAGACAGCCTTTGCAGAAAAATTGTCCAAGACTCAGGCAGTGGAATACTTTGGGGAATGGTCACTCAACCCCACTAATTATGCTTTCCAAAGAATTCATAATAGTAAGTCTTGTCCTTCTGTTTGTGCCTCTCTTCCTCTTGGGTTAATTGATGATGATGATGATGATGATGATGATAGTAACAATAATCTGGACTCAAGGCGACTTACAAATTAAAATGGTTACATTATAATTGAAAATGTATAGAAAGTCAACATTCATACAGCATTGTCTCATAGCTCTTTTCTCAAACACTGTCATTTTTAAAAGCCTGTTTGGATCAAAAGATCCCCATCTGCCAATGGAAGAGAGGAGTGGGAGGACAGTTTAATCTTCCTAGGAAGGGAATTCCAAGTTTTGTAGTAGCCACTGAGAAGATCCTGCCTTGTTTTCCTATTAGTCATACCTGTGAAGGTGGTGGAACTGAAAGAAAGGTTTCCTCTATGGATCTCAGGGCCCAAAGCAGTCTCATTGTAGGAGATAATAGTTTTTCAGATAGCATGGACCTTAGCTGTATAAGGGTCTATAGATCATTGCTAGCAATTTGAATTGTGCTGGGAAACAGACTGGCAGCCAGTGGAACTGTTGAAGCATTGTAGTTATATCCCCCATAACCAGACTGCACTCCTTGTATTAGCTGGTTTCCAAAGACTTCAGAGACAGCCCAGTGTACAGCACATTACAGTAATCTAAATGGGGTGTAACCAAGGTATCTGTGGCCACACTAGGCATATCCAGAAATCCCCATTAGTAGACTAGCTTTAAATGTGCAAAGATACTCCTGATCAACACAGAAATCTGGGCCTTCAGCTCAAGGCTAAGTTCAGGAGTATATCCAAATGGTGAATTTGAAATCCCTGAAACAAAAATATATTTCCAAAGAGTGTGGATCAATTTCTCTTTTGTGTTTTGTCTTTTAAAAGGCAAATCTTTAGCATAAGATACTCTATTTTAATAATTTTGATTTTGGGAATTGTGTAACTTAAATAACTTACATCCAACCTTCCCATCTTTTATCTACAGATATGTTTGACCCAGCTCTGATTGGTGATAAGCCGAAGTGGTATGCTCATCAACTGCAGCCAATTCATTACCGTGTCTATGATAGCAATTCTCAACTGGCTGAAGCGCTCAGTGTCCCAGTAGACAGAGATACAGATTCTGATCCTACTGATGATAGGTCAGTGAGAACTTTTAATTTCGTGCAACTGGTCCTCAGTAGTTCTTGAAATTATGGGAAACATATTCAGAGAATAGCCATGTTGGTCACAGCGCAAAATGAAACAAAATCCACAAAAGACGATTTGGCATATTGGCTAACCAAAATGCAGGAATCAGTTCATGCAGACATTCAAAGCTCCAGTGGCTTCTTCATCAAGCAAAAGATGTTAAAATCATACAGGAGAAGAAAAGGAAAGCGACAGTGTTGGGATCACAGTCACTACTGATAGAGTTTAAATTTTACTGTCCTTTTTCTCAGTCTTGAGATAGCTAAAAGGAGAAACTTCTGATTGCATTGAGATTTCTCTAGACCAGTGTTTCTCAAACTGTGCTCCTCCAGGTGTTTTAGAATTCAGCTCCCATAAATCCCAGCCGGCCTTCCAGCTGTTAGGAATTGTGGGAGCTGAAATCCAAAACATCTGGAGGACCACAGTTTGAGAAACTCTGTTCTAGACCAATTGAACAACAACAAAAATATATATCATACAAAATGCTTGATGAAGACGCCAGCGGAGCTTCAGAAACTGGCATGGAGTTTTATGCATTTTGGTGATTACTGATCTGTTATCCTTATTCTCTCTCTTCTAGTATATGTATGTGTGGAGCTATGTGTATACACATTCATATATTCTCATATAGACACACACTGAGTTTTTCGAAAACTTTCAATTCTCCCTTTCCTTTCTTGCAATAGCGGCAGTGATAGTGTGGACTACGATGACTCCAGCTCTTCCTATTCATCCCTTGGTGACTTTGTCAGTGAAATGATGAAGTGTGACATCAATGGTGGCACTCCAAGTGAGTAACTCTGAGTTAATTATTTCACCTATCAGTAGATGGAAAATGGATGTAGAGTTGTGTGGCACCTAAACTTAAAACCAGGCTCCTGGATGACTTCCTCTGAACTTGCCCCAGCTATACCAATGACGAGTAATACTCCTCTCTTCCCCTCTGAACTTCACAGCATTCTACCCACCAGCACAAATAACACAATTTCGGTCCCAAATCAGGCCTCAAACCATATTGAAATAATTATATTTGTAGACAAACAGCTTTAAAAAGCTGCTGAAGAAAAAGACTTTGCATTTTAGTCTAGAATTGGTAGAAGCTGACTAGCTTTTGTTCAGTGAAATATGGACTTTCTTGTTCAAATGTTTACCTTCAGTTGTGAATATATAGGTTGCAGATACTGATTTTGGAGAAACTCTAATTCATTATCCTTAGTTTTACTGGAGTGTGTAGATCTTGTAATATTATGTCATCAATGAGTTTGTTTCAGATAATTATGGTGCCTCTGTGAATTTTAGCAGTGTTTATCTTCTAATATCTATTTACAGATGTGGATCCACTAACTCATGCTGCTTTGGGGGATGCAAGTGAAGTGGAATTTGATGATTTCCAGGAGTACTCGGGTGATATAGATGAACAGGCCCCAGACAGTGAGAACTCTCAAGACAATAACCAGCCTCGATCAAGTTCAAGCACTACTGCCAGTAGTAGTCCCAGCACTGTCATCCATGGGGTGAATCATGTGTGTAATGAGGCTGTTGTACAAAGAAGTTCAAAGATGGGGATTTTAGTGGAGCAAAGTGGTGGGGAATAGAACTTTGGGTACAGGATAATGGGATTTGTGCTAGTTTTGATATACACTCTAAACTAGACTTCTTGGAATATGGTGTGTTTATTATTTGTCCAAGTATGAAAAACTACTGTCTCACATCAGCCTGTGATTAGATTGAGTTAGAAACAAACATTGCCTCTTCAGAGTTTTAAGGGGTTTTTTCATGTCAGGAGTGACTTGAGAAACTGCAAGTTGCTTCTGGTGTGAGATAATTGACCGTCTGCAAGGACGTTGCCCAGGGGATGCCAGGATGTTTTGATATTTTACCATCCTTGTGGGAGGCTTTTCTCATGTCCCCACATGGGGAGCCGGAGCTGACAGAGTGAACTCATCTGCGCTCTCCCTGTATTCGAACCTGCGACCTTCCGGTCTTCAGTTCTGCTAGGCCAAGGGTTTAACCCATTGTGCCACCAGGGGCTCCAGTTACTCAAGTGGCTCCTGACACACGTAAAAACGTTTTAAGTAAAAATGACTTAGTAGCTGCTTTGGGCTTTCATTTTGAAGAAAAAGAAAAGTGAATATAAACATTTAAAAATACAATGAAAATGAAAAAAATAAGAAAGCCTGCTCTATGTTTTTCTTGTCAATAATAATAGATAGAAAGTAGATGATATTATTGTAATTATTTATTTACTTTTCTCCTGCTTTTCTCCCACAAATGGAACTCAAAGCGGCAAACAAAATAGAAAACAACTACATAATACAGAAAACCATCATCCCATAACCCAACATATAAACAATAAATTGACATATTGCATAAGACACAAATTACATAAGATATAAATAAACGTAAACATAATCCCACATATCATTATCATTAAAATATCTCTACCCTTCAGGCCACTGAGATTGTCCTCACATGTTAAAAGATTAAGCATTTCAGACCTCCCAATCTTTGGATATATGAGCCTTGTCTGACCGAGATAGTTATTGTTGTGTATTTTCAGGGAAGGCCTGCTTCCTGGGGACGGGAGGCCACTAGCAAGGGGGCTGAACGTACCTCTTTGGGGAGGGAGTTCCAGAGCTGCGGGGCCACCACCAAAAAGGTCCTTTCTCTCGTTCCCACCAACCGTATTTGTGATGATGGTGGAACCGAGAGGAGGGCCTCACCTGACGATCTCAGGGTTTATGTGAGCTGATAGAGGATATGCGGTCCCTCAAGTAGGCTGGACTTGAACCATTTTGAACTTTATAGGCTAAAGCCAACACTTTGAATGGTGTATTTCTTTTGCTGCTGTTATCAAGGTAGAGTTACATGACACAATTATTTGAGGCTGTTTGTATTTAATTATTTAACTATTATAAGAGAGATGTGGAGATTGTGGTCTGTATCCAGTGCCAGATGTCTCCTTAGCAATGAATTTCAGGGGAGCTGGCACAAAACTGTTGCACAAAACCGAACTTCAGTAGTGAATTCATTTTCCCAGGAGTGAACTCAGTGTAGTAGAGACAGTGCTGATCACTTTGAGTGCAGTTTGTGTTCCAAACGTTGTGGCTCCCTTGAGGCCAGTAGAATCAGATGTTATAGGAATATGGTATCATCAAACGAACTTAATTTTTTTTATAGGAATCTGCTGATTCTGCAGAGATGGAAGAGAAGATAATAGCTGGATTTTCAAACCACCTTCCCAGTTTGCCTTTGCAATCAAACTTTCCCAAGATGGCCATGGATCGTCGTGATGGGGAGAGTACTACAAATATGGAAGGAATGGTGAAGAAACGGGAGTATGATAATCCATACTTTGAACCACAGTATGGGTTCCCAACAGAGGATGATGATGATGAACAGGAGGAAAGCTATACACCAAAGTTCAATCAGAACCTCAATGGCAGTAGGTAAGATATTCTGTAGCCAGAACTCTGCAGTTTTACTAATCTTGGTGATTTTTGCTTAGCGTTATACACTGCCTCAGAAATCTTGTGCAGTTCAAATACAGTAGGTCTCATTTATGCATATTCAAAGTGGTAGTGAAGCTTATTTCTTGTAGTGCAGTTTTCTGCAACTTCAAGATCCACATGAATTAAACAGCTATGTGTGAGTCTTGCACATGTGACAGCCATTTGGAAACATACCCACATACTCTGGAAACCAGAACTTGGGAAACTTAAAATAAATGAATGTAACAACAACAACTTTATTTTTATACCCCACCACCATCTGCCTGAAGGGACTCAGGGCGGCTTACATAAGACAAATGTCCATAAAAAACATAAAAACAAATCAATCCATAAACTAAAACACATTAAAATAGGAGCATCATAAAATACAGCAACCAAGATAAAAACACACTAAACATAACAAAATAAAACAGATTGCAATTAGAGCTCTTATCAGATCGCATTCAACATAAACCAATAACCGGATTTCTACGATGCACCTGTCCAAGCTATATTAGGGCTGGGCAGGGATAGTGCAAATAGCAAACCATAGAGCTGGGGCAATGGATGAAGTGCAAAAAAGAGTATTGTCTAGTGACGTAGCAACGGGGCATATATGGCTAGGGACTAATCATTTTCGAAAACTAGCTGGAACATCCATGAATGAGAAACAATTAGATGGTGTTCTGATCCCACAACGCCTCTGCCTATGTGAAGGGGAATTCTATTTCAATTATTGGAGAAGGGGATCAGAATGACTATCTTAAAAGTGCTCTAGTTGACAATATTCTGATATTCAGAGTCTATGGAAAATGATGGCATTGTGTGTTTGTTTTCATCTTAGCTATAATCTAGAATAAAACCTTTCCTCTACAATGCCTCCTTTCAGACCTGAGATGTTTGTCTAACTGATGTGAGATGACTCTGAAGTTATCAAAATGATGCAGAATATAGAATAATGCCAATATCATATCTCTTTTTTCTTTCTTTCAAAGGCCCCCAAAGCCTCTGCGTCCCAGCAGTTTGAAGCTAGGCAATGATTCTGATGCAGAATCGGATTCTCATGCCAGTTCCCCGAATTCTACGATCTCTAACAACAGCAGTGAAGGTTTTGGGGGAATTATGTCTTTTGCCAGTATGTATAATCATTCATCTTATCATGATTTATATTGTAATTGGATTTACAGGCATAATAACTCTAAGGCAGATGAACTGATGAGATACTTGTATAAGATGTGGCATTCACCATCATTGCCTCCAGGTTACAAATTTTGCAGCAAGGAAGAAGAGGATAAGTGGTGCCTTCACTTAATAGACAAGAGTAGTCACTGGATTTGGTTAATAATCAGTATTGAGGGTGAATCATGAAAATGCAATTTGGAGGCCAGGCCAGGCAGTTCATAGAACATAGCTGAGTTTAAAGCCTTAACATTCATTGGGATGAAGATGTCCCAGAGAGTGTCTTCATGAGTTGACTTTGATATTGACATATTCTGATAGGGTTTGTTATATATATGTGTGTGTGTGTTTTCTCTGCTGAAATTATTATGCAAAAGGAGCCGAGCATTTAGAGTGATGTTACCTCTGCTTTGAAATACTCTTCTCTACATTGTTGTGTTGTAACTTCCTTATTACATTTTTGAACACAAGTTCAGACCTTTTAAAATTATGTAAGGCTCTTGGGGAAGACTTTAATTCGGAATTAATTTCTTAATATTTGTATTTTCTTACTAAAATGTATTTTTTATGGATATTATGATTATTTATAACATTTGCATCCATTTGAAGGAAAGGTAGGATGCAGCCACAAAGGTAGGATGCAGTCACTGGGAGTGATATAAATTACATTTCTTGAGTGATCAAAAAATGAGGTTGCAGACTTACGGAACATAATGAGTTATCTCATACTAATTCTATAAATAAGTTATTTGATACTGGTAATTTATTCTGTATTTAAATTGTAAATTAAGCCAGGAATCTAAAAATGGAAACACTAAGGGGAACTCAAGGACAGTATTACTGTATGACTGTAACATTGGTATCTTTTTTTGCAACAAATGTGTGGCTAAACCTTTTAAGCAATCCCTTTACTTCTTTGCTAAGAGCCATTTGGACATGCCATTATACTGGGAAACAGGAAGTACTCTTTACTTACAATTTGACATGACTTTAACTGCAATGAAATTTTACGTTTAGAAATGACCTAGGTTATATCTACACTATAGAATTAATGCAGTTGGATACTACTTTAGCTGCCAAAGTCCAATAGTATGGAATCATGGGAACTGTAGTACTATCAGCTCTCTTCCAAAGAGTGCTGGTGCCCCACCAAATCCCAGGATTTCATAGTATTTACCAATGGCATTTAAAGTAGTATCAAACTGCATTCATTTTATAGTGTAGATGCCACCTAGGCCATTTCTAAACATAAAATGTCTTTTTACAGAACCATTCTTTGGTAGATCGACTTATATTTTGAGAATCATTGTTGTGTTGCATAATCTACTTTTGTTTACTCTTCAGCTCTTGGACAAGTGATTTTTTAGGAATTTTGTGATACATTGCAGAATTCATATGTGGGTTAATGACAGCAAACTGACCAGGTTTTTGACAGAAAACCAGGTGGAAACAATCACATTCCCACAACTATTTTGGATGGTACCGTTATCCCCCCTTTCAAACTCACCGGTTCTCTTTTGTCAATAACATTTCTCACTGAGACTAAAACATTCTACCGCTGACTTGTCCGTCTAAAGGACATTTACTCAGAACTCTTTGAGAGTCATCTACTCTACCTTTCATAATCCTTAGATAGGAAGCAGTAGTATTTTTAGAGTGGAGCAACATCATCCATGAATATCATACTTGTTCAGTTTTTTCCTGATTATTCAGTCATGAATGCTCTTATGAGCCAAGGTGGGATTGCCCCACAGATCACTGGATATTACTATGTGCTTCTTTGTATCTTCTTGGATGATGTGTAATTTTGTTCTTGGAGAGATTTTGGTAGAATGAGTAGAGTAACTGTGGATCTCAAGCTTTGTAGCCTCTATTTGTAGCATATCTTCTGATTGGATTGGTGGAACCCCATATTCTTAGAAATGACTTTGTAACCTTTTGTAGATCTATAGACAACAATAGCTGCTTTTCTGAGATCACTAGACACATCTTTTGATCATGATATGACATGTTTACGCATAATCATATTGCAAAGATTAAACTCACAAAGTTTCTGTTTCTTATGTAGAGTGGAATCTACCACATGTATCCTCAAAGACCCACTTAATTATTCAAGCACCTGAGTCTAATTCTTTCCTTTAATTTACTTAATATAACAAGGGGTTTACTTAATTTTGCACCTATCCGACTCTCATTCACTATATTATTTGCCTAATTATGCATTTTGCTCTTAAAGAAAACACCAGAGTTGCTCATTTAAGTCCTGCTGTACTAATTTTCTTTTACAAGGCTATCATAGTGAAATTATGGAATTTCAGTAATTATAATTTGGGTTCATAATTATTTTTTGCCACTGTAATCTGCATCTGAAATTCATTATTTTACATCCTATCTGTCAGAGATTCACCAGCTACTTCTGCAGTAAAAAGTGACCTGCCTTTTCCTGATTGATTTGAATTGAGATCAGTAAGGAACTGCATGTGGGCAAACAAATTGTATCTTAATTAAGACAAGACAGAGATTTTCCTAGAGAACTGTTATTTCTTTGATTAGGATTTTATCTTTTTGTGGGGAATTTCTACCTCTTTCAAAAAAACTGCAGTTGTAATGTGAGCATGCTTGTGCATCTTGCTGTTCAATGCCCAGGTGTTAGCTTTGATCAGGCTGTCTTTTGTCCAGCTTAGGCTGGTATTTATTTATTGATTTTTATAGTATTTTTGTCCCACTTTCTCTCTCGCTCTTTCAGGGAGATGCAAAGCAGTTGACAATTAAAATTTTATCTCAGTTGCTCATTTTTTTCTGAAAAGAGAAATTTTGGCCAAGATCACATTGTCCCATTCACAGCAGGATTGCATTAATTTACTAAGCGATATATGAATCTTCTTTGAGTCTTTACCGGTTGCAAAGCAGCAGCCCAAAATTAGAAGGAAACCAGAGTTTTATGATACATGGCTCCATTGAGGAATGAGTTTCATTGGTCTCTAGTCTGTTTTAAGGCATAATGTAAGGAACCACAATTGCTTTAAAGCTCTCAGTTGGTACTCTTTTTAGCTTGTCAATGAAGGTCTTGCGTCTTGTTTTATTCCTATTCGAGATGCAATGAGGATAGATGCAGGAAGATCTTCTCTGTTTTGTATCCTGGCTGCAATGTTTTGGGATGTCAACTTGACTCCATTACTATAGACATTTAGGTGCCACTTGAATTTTATGAATAAAATTCATGTATGTTTATTGTATAAAACAGGTTGAGAAATGCAGAATGGTGTAATTAGTCATATCATCCATCCTTTCTTTTATCATGGCCAAAATATCTCAGTAGATGTTTCCAGAAATCTGGAAGTGAAGTCTTATCTTGTTTCTTGGTGGGGGCAGGGTAGAAAGCATTCTATTGAAGGTCAAAACTATTCCTGATATGAAGTACGTTTTTGTATTTAATGTCATTCAAAAGATTGAAACAACATCGGTTTGCATGGTCTGGATGCTGATAATTAATGGAGATCCTTGTAGGATTGGAACGGGAGTTTAACCTCTTCTTTATGCCACATTTCTCCCAAAGTTGGCAGGTCTTTATCTGGAACTTATTTGTTGGTGCTATCCACACTCCTAGTTGATGATTATTTCAGTTTCTCATAATCTGCACATTGGATGTAATGATACAGTTTGTCCTTATTCAGATGTAAACAGCAGCATAAATTACTGAATGAGGTAAGAGAATGATTAGATCACTTGATTCATTTTCTTTCTGTTATAGGTAGTCTATACAAGAACCACAGCACAAGCTTTAGTCTGTCCAATTTAGCACTTCCAACCAAAGCTGGGAGAGACAAAAATACTCCATTTCCCAGTCTGAAAGGTAATAATTTTTGCTTGTGTGTTGCTGCCTTTCAGAATCCCTTTGATTGTCAAGCAGTCACAGAAATGCACCGTTTTGGGTAACAGGATATTCTAATAATATGAACTTCATGTTGCTGATTATTTGAAATGGTTTGGTAGAAAATTTTCAGTTAATATTGATGGCTTATTTTGAAGGGAACATATTTTTTCCTATTTTTAATGCACTAGCTGTAGGAAATAAACTATTAGTGGAAAAAGATTTTACATGAATACATTGGATGAGTTCTTATTTTTTTGGTCCAATTCAAAATGTACAGCCCTTATATAGAGGCTTCTGAAAAGTCTGGCATTGCTGTATATAATAAGTACAACATTAAAAATATGTTTTATGTGTGTTTTGGTCCATTGCATGCAGTTGCACATTACTGTTTTTACACATAAATACTGTCTGCATTTTGACAGACTCCCTGGTAAGAAGCTCTGTAAAATTATGCAAATCATGTCGAGCATTTGCTGTGACAGAGGCTTTTCAAGTCTTCGCAGTGCCATAATAATGTAACATGTATATACAATATATTTCCTAGATGGATACAATAACCTGAGAGGAAAAAAATATCAATAGCCTTTCACTCAGAGGCCATAAAAGTTGGCTGACCGAGACTATTTCCTTTTACCTTGAAGAATATAGAATAAAGGCTGCTAAAATTACTGTTACATTGGGTTAGTTATAGTAGAGTTGGCTTTTGTGAATGCTGTGGATGAAGGAAAGAAAGCTGAGGTTTACCATTGTTTTTACATTGGAACTTTTAAGTTGCATAGCTGGAGGATTGCTTTGTTTGCTTTTACAGCTCATATATATAATTATAGAATTACTATTTTTCTTTTTTAACAAGTTGATTTTATTTATTTCTTTCCCTCTCCATTTTCATCGGTAAAGATTACTTTAATCTGGAAGTGGGAAGGGATGTGGATGAAGGTTGGTATGATGTCCTGCTGACCTTTGACCTTTTAGTAATAAAGGCCAAAAGTTAGTGTTGTGTTGCTGCCTTGGACTTTGCTTTGGATAGTTTTTTTTTCTCTTGGGTGTGTGTGTTTGTGTAAAGACCAACTACAGAGAAGGAATGTGAGTAGTTTAATCAAGTCTCTGCATGAACTCTCTGGGAATATCTCTATTTGGTCATATTCTAGTATTCGTGCAGAGATCTTCTGTTAGTTAAACCTATTATTGATAACACACATTGGAAGAAAACAGTGATGGGTTTTTTCCAGTTCTTTCTCATGCTTTGTGTCTCATCTTCTACAGTTTATTCTCATTTCTTGATACATATTGTTAATTGTAGCTTCTACAAGTTTCTCAATTGAGAACATAATTTTACTTCGTCAGTATTTCTGTGTTACCTGTATCAGCAAAGGTTTATGGAGGAACTGACATAAACTTATTTTAAGCATTGGGATAGCTGCTGCTATTTTTATGCTAGTTATTTATACTTTTTTGTATTTGAATTCCTTGTGATATAATATGGGTAGAGAATAGCTTCTTGCTTGACTACATTTGTCTTTGCTTCATTACCTTTCCTGAGTCTTAAGGTTTGGTTTCATTTACTGTTTATCATACTTTTTTTTCCTTTTTCTTTTTTCCATCTTTTGCAGTGCCTGCTCAGTGATAACATTATAAATTCCTAGAAGGGAAGAAAACATTTTTGAATAGGATTCAGAGTAGTCTTTGAGACCTGAAATATCCTTAAAACTATTTAGAGCACATCTTTGCTGGAAACAGGAGCTGGCTTTTCCACAGTGTTAACAGTCTTATGTTCCCCAAGTATTTTTTTAGATTCTGGAAGGGAATTGAAAAATTCTTAAATTTCCTGAAGATTCATACTTATTTAAGGAAGGTATATGTGGGCAAGCCAATTTGGTTCCAATTGTGAATTTTTGAAAATATCCAACAACCTGATTCATCACATCTAACACATAATGAAACACATAGTTAAGTGCTGATTACCTTGCTAATCAGTGGTGATGTAAGGAATAGCTCAAGAACAAGTGGTATCAGTGTAGAACAGTTGATGAAAAACAGGAATTGTAGTGCAACACCATCCTCCCTTCCTGCTTATGTCTCTTTTTTAGAGAAGAAACGGGAGATACACCGTCCTGTACATGTTGTTTAATGACAACTCCCAGCATTCTTCACTATTAGTTATGTTGGGTAGAGCTGTTGGGAAACACAGTTCAACAACATCTTGGGGCACTGTGTGATAACCACCTCTAATTTAGAGTTACTCTTTCTTTCCCCTTCCAGATTGCGCTTATCATACTTAATCAGCCACCCACAGGAAAAACTGTTATTGGAACTACATATATTCATTCTTCAACTTTTATTTAAGATGGTTTTGGAGTGGGAGGGGATTAATCAAATAACTTAATTAAATATACACATGGTGGTGACTTTGCAATACACTACTAATTGTTTATTTTGTGTCCCAGTATTTGGGCTAAATACTATAATGGAGATTATTACTGAAGCTGGGCCAGTAAGCAATGAAGGTGGGTTCCTTGCATCATGAGCTGTGCATGACATACCAACTCTTAGCAAGCATCCCCGTGCCTGCCTGTTGGGCAAGCTTTCCACCGGTAACCAGAACCATATGATCTCTACTGGCTACCACCCCATTACACATTATGCTTTTTCATATGATGTCTAATCAGAAGATGGTTCTTGTGGCAGAAATGCATGCAGAGCAGCCAAGCCTTTTCTGCTTCTCACCTTCTGCTCTTGTTACCATCTTCTTTTCTGTCTCTGTCTCATTCCCATTACTGTTTTCTGCCGATGTATGATACAGTAATATAAAATATGCTGCTGCTTTTTCAAGTTATTCTTTTTGTCCTTCTAATTAGAGTGTTAGCTAACTCTTGTGTGTCACATTGGTGCTGTTTTTATACTTGGGTGTCCTTTATAGTAAGCATTATCTTGCTCTGCCTTTCCTCTTATGCAGGAAACCGGCGAGCACTTGTTGATCAGAAATCTTCTGTCATAAAGCACAGCCCAACAGTAAAAAGGGAATCTCCTTCACCTCAGGGACGAACTGGAAATTCCAGGTACAAGCACGTAAAGTATTTTCTTTTCTTAGAAGAGAAATGTATGGTTGACTGTTCCTAGGTTCTCGAGTTACATATTGGTCATAGCAGGCAAAAGTAAAATTTGTTTCATATCCTTATGTCCTGAATCTAATAATTTCAAGAGGTAAATTTTACACTGAATAGTTTAATATTATATGTGTGTGTGTGTGTATTTATATGTGTATATACAGTGTTCCCTTGCTACTTCACGGTTTGCTTTTAGCGGACTCGCTGTTTTGCGGGTTTTTGAAAATATTAATAAAAATATAAAATATTTACGTGCAGTGGAGGCCAGGGACCCCGGAAGTACAGTGGCCTGAGGCGCAGCGGGGAAGGCTTGCCTCTCTGGCCACCACATACCCCAGAAGTGTGGTGGCCTGAGGTGCAGTGGGGAATGTCTGCCCTCCCTGGCCTGCTGCTGCCTGCATGGCTCCGGAGGCTCTACTGGGTTCTGCGGAGGCCAGGGAGGCAAGCGAACGTGCGTTGCGCTACGGGCGAGAGGCGGCCCCCTTCCAGCCGCGCTCCGCTCCCGAGACGGACGGCTCTCCGCACCGGGGGCGGCTCCCCCCGGGGGGGGGGGGCGGCCGGCCCGGCTATCCGGGACCCACCGAGGCTCCTCGGCGCTGCGGTATCGTTCCCTTTAGGGGGATTCTGACTTAGATGGGCCGGGAGGCAGGTAAGGAAGTGCAGGTAAGAAAATAATATATAAAATATATAAAATAATATATAAATATTAAAATTAATATGGCGTCCCTATTTCGCAGATTTTCACTTATTATGGGTGGTCTTGGAACGGAACCCCCGCAGTAAGTGAGGGAACATTGTATACCCACTCATAGCAATTAACTTGAATACACCTGTGAAAACATTCTGAATAATTATGTTCCCTCTTTCTCATGTACTTCTATTGTATAGTGAAAACCAGCAGTTCTTGAAAGAGGTGGTGCACAATGTCCTAGATGGACAAGGAATTGGCTGGTTTCACATGAAGAGAGTCCGTCGTCTCCTGGAGAGTGAGCAGCTCCGTGTGTTTGTATTAAGCAAACTTAATCGCACCATTCAGTCAGAGGAGGACGCACGACAGGACATGGTCCAGGATGTGGTCAGTTAGTTTCTTTCTTCCATTGTTTTTTTCTTCGATTTTTGTTATGCCTTTTTGTATTGAGTATGCAGTGTTTTTCACTGTGGCCATCTGTTGGAGTGCTTTGGTTGTGTGCTACTGCATGGCAGGGGGTTGGACTTGATGGCCTTTGTGGTCTCCTCTGTGATTCTATGATTCACATTAAAATAAGCCAATGTTAAAATGGTAAAAGTCAGCAACTTTAGGAATAAATTAGGAGAATGTTTTTCAGAAGAAAATTGTATTTTTACCTGCTGAATTATAACCTCGGCATTGTACCCACTCTTTTGCGCCCATATATTGGTCTTTGCTGCAGAAGGAACATAAAAAAGACATTTGAGTTCTAGAGCAGGCTTATATGATTAAATTATCCCACTTCTGTAGTATTTCAGGTTTTAAAAATCAAGAGTCTAGAAAACTCAGTTAAAAAACAGACCACAAAAAACCTGGGTCATGGTGTCATTGTTTTTAGTGTTTTATTGTTTTGCTTGATTTTTATTATTTGTTTATGACTTTTACTGTTGTATTTGTATGCTGTTGTTTGTTGGCGGCCTTGGCCTTTGTAAGCCACATCGAGTCCTTCGGGAGATTTTGCGGGGTATAAATAAAGTTAATAATAATAGTAATAGTAATAGTAATAATAATAATAATAATAATAATAATTTATTGCACATCAGTGTAAGTAGTGTACCACAACACCCATCAGTTAAGGAACCATCTCCAACTAGAGTAGAGAAAGATGAGAGCTAAATCCATTCTGGGAGAACATAAAAGAAGCCTCATCCCCCCCCTCCCCCTCTCCCCTACTCTTCCCTTACATGCCAATTCTGGCATTTTCAAATTCCGGGGGAAATAGTGGTAGCAGTGGCCAGAAGAGACTGGGTCCTATAGGGTGTTCATATTTGCCGCGTCTGCAAAATGGCTCTTCACTTACCCATAGGCTATATCAAAAGCCATAATTTTGGCCCTCAAACCTACCCTTGACTTACACACAAGGTTGACTTAGGCAGGGGCATATGTACACTGGACAGAGTACATTCATAGAATGAATTTTATAAAGATATATTCTTAAGTAGGCACTTGTTTCTGTAAACTCCATGTCCTTCCAGGTGCTGGCCCAGTTTGAGAGTGCATGCTTTGGATGCAGTGGGCCCTAGGCTCAATCTGTGCTAGCTTTAGTAAAACTGGGGAAATCTTTGTGTTTGACACCCTGAAAAATTGTTGCTCATTTGTTTAGAATTAAGAGAATACTGAGCCAAATGGGGCCAGTGTTATGGCTTGCTATAAGACAGATCCCTTTTAACTTTAGTTTCAAAAAGCATAATTAACTTATTAACAGTTAGAATGCAAGTGACCTTTGGCTTGAGTGGGAAAATAAATTGGAACAGGGCCCTGATTCATGAATTTTACTTACTCCTGAGAATCTTGTATTTGTAGGAGATCAGCCGCAAGGTTTATAAAGGGATGCTGGACTTGCTGAAGTGTACCGTGTCAAGTCTTGAACTATCATATACAAATGCAGGACTTGGGGGCATGGCGAGTGTCTTTGGCCTTCTGGAAATAGCTCATACTCACTACTATAACAAAGGTAAGAGAATATGAAAAACATATAAATTAGAGAAAATAAGCAAATGAATGTGTAATCTGTGGTAACTCTCACAAATTATCAAGCTAAACCAAAAGGTTTTCATTCTACATAATGAGTTATATTGACTGACATCAGGTTTAATCGGCTTGCAGATTACTATGTGTGACAAGCTTAATCTGATATCACATGTAGGGCTGCAGTGAAATTAGAGTCAGCTTCCTACTTGCAAGTGTTTTAAAAATTTCTTTGGGTATTTATGTAAAAGAAAGAACCTTTAAAGGTTCTTTCAAATGCAAAACATGTGGCTGTAGATGAATAATTACTGTGAGTTGTATTGAAAACATGATGCATGCTTTTTCACTTAGTGCATTTTTCACAGAATGCAGTTTGTACTTCTTTTCAGAAGTAGGTTAGGACTACATATACCCACATCTCTAGAGATAACAAACTCACATTACTTAGGCTTATATTAAAATTAGGAGCAGGTAGCTTCCTAGGATCAAAGGGGCTACTCCTGTTCCAGTTTCCACCAGCCCCAGACACTCATGGACAGCATTCACAGACCCATGGAAAGTGGTTTGAAGGGTCAAACAAAGTATAGGAGGTCCTTATCGAGCTTTAGTTGAGAATCATGCCTTCCCTGCAGTTCCTGTGAGAGTGGTTTTTAAGTGCTCTGATCCTGCGTGTTTTAAGGGCCTGAGGAAAAGCTCCAGAATTCATACTATTGAACTAAATAGCAGAATCACATCCATTTTTAGCTGGAATTCTTCTCTCTGTATGTTTCTATTATTTTCATTTTCCGAAACCACATCACTATTTTTTCTCTCTCTTCTCTTCTTCCATTTCTTCTTCCTCCTTTTCTTCAAACTGACTGCTGTTGGTATTTTTTGCTATTATCTGTCTCTCCTTCTTTCTTTTTAAGAGCCAGAAAAAAGAAAAAGAAGCCCAACAGATGGAGCAATCACTCCAGTTGGCAAGGACCATATTTTACCCACGAGGGTAGAATCGAAACCCAAGGTGCATCTTCCGGTACCCCAGCTCATACCACGGGCACCGAGCCCCGCAGGGAAAGGGCCAAGCGAGTTTGACACAAGGAGTCTAAAGGAGGAGAATTTTGTAGCTTCTATTGGTATGTATTTATCTTATATGGAATGCAGGAAAGTGGTTATGCCTTGACGCTGGTATTTACTTGCATCCTTACCATTTAAACATTTCTCTCTTCATTGCTATAGTAATGCGCTTGCCTGTCACTCAAATTGCACAAACTAGTCAATTATGCTTATCCCATAATTCGGAGAAATATTAGCTAAAATATTTCTGATGTGCTAGTATGCTTTTTAGGGCTATATGGTCAGGCTGAGTCAGGCTGCCATATGAAATTCAATTATTTTCAGACTGGATAGGGATTGTTGCTGTTATGTGTCTCAAGTTCCTTTCCAACTTATAGTGGTGACCCTATTACAGGTTTTCTGGCAATATTAATTCAGATAGGGTTTACTATTGCTTTCATGTGAGGCTTAAGAGAGTGTGACTTGTCCAAGGTTACCCAGTGAGTTTCCATGGCACAGTGGGGATTTTAACCCTGGTCTCGTAGCATCTAATCCTCCAATCACTACGCCACACTGGCTCTCGGATAGGAATTATGATTAACAAAATTATTACAGAGAATATTTCTTTAGATAGCTTGTCTATACATTTCTTGAGAAGTAAATCACATTTGGTTCTTGGGGTATATTATGCACTAAATATTTATGATGCAGAATGGCAACTGTGTTTTCTTTCCTGAATATTATCCAAGGCGCATGGTTTGAAAATTATTCTTAGATCACATGTAATCTCTTTTCTCTTCACAACAGAACATACAAGAATGAATATTATAAATTTAACAGCTGTGTTACAATATAAATCCCTAAGAAATAAATTGTGATTAAATATTTATATTACAGAGACAATGTTATACCTTCTTAGTACCTATATTTGCTAGATATAAAGATACTGCAGGAACAAGACAGAAAACCATTTTAGGAAGTTTGCTAGATGTTTTCCCAGTATTTCTCTATGTACCAGTTTTACTAAATTAATGAACTAGAGTGCAGTATTCTGTTCATGCAAGGGATAGAAGGGATGCAAGGGATTGAAATGTTTGTGGAATATAAGTATCAGCCAATTGCAATCCAAATGTGGGAGAAAAATGGGACATTGTCCAGGTTCAGAAGAGCATAGAATGATGAAAACAGTACTGAGGTGTCCTTGTCAGATTAGTTTCAATAACACAGCCCCCTATGCTAAATGCTGATAATAGTTTGTTGTATGTATCCTTTTAAATTTCAAAATCAGAAGCCAGTGTCACCATGTTAGTTCATTGTGTAATATTGTGGAAGAACAGCCAAGAAACACCCGCTTCTGCATTGCTACTGCAGATAAACAACTAATTCTGTATGGTTGTATTGGAGCAAGCAGAATTATGATGAGTGAGATAAGAAGCACAGACACATTTAATGCTCACTATTAATGAAATTCCCTTTGTGGGAACTTCGCTTGTGGATTTGATCATGATTCTCACTACAGAGGAAACATTTTTATCTGTGTTGCTGCTATCAGCATTAGTGAATTCAGAAACCAAAACAGTTAACAAACATATTTCCCTATAACTTGCCCAACAGTTTTTGTATTTGCATCAAATACAGTATGGAAAAAGTGTTGGGCTTGCCAGATAAGTTGTAATTTTCTATCTTTATATCATATCATTGCAGAAAACCCAATCCCTCATCCCTCCAGCAAGTTGTAAATCAGTTTGCTGTCCCATTTCTTTCTATACTTTTCCATGCTCTGCTTCCACTGCAGTATAGTCAAAAGTAATTCTCCACACTACTGCTCCTTCCTTGTAAGACGTGAGTTTCCTTCTTGCCTTCTTGCACCTCCCAGCTTCTGCCTTCCTAAATGAGGAGGAGGACTGAATGGCACAGTTCATACTGGGATTTCTGACAAGCCTATTTAGGATTCTGCCACTGGGTCACTGGGCCAGCACCTGGAAGGACATGGAGTTTACAGAAACAAGAATGAAAACATCTTAGAAAATTGATGTACTTTGTGAGTTTGCTGAGAGGATTGACCTGTGAGAATGTTTGTTTCTGAACAAACACTGCCCTTTTTGTAAGATAATCGATCAGTGGAATAGAATTAACTGACCAGGGTTTTTGAGCATCATTTTAAGAGAATAGTGTATCTTTCTCCAACATTTTAGGGTTCTTTTTGCCTGTATAAAAGACTTTTAAGATCTATATGTTGACCGCAGAGAAAGTTAGAAGAATAGTAGGTAAAGTCCAGGGATTATGATAGGGCTGGGCGGAGCAAAACTAAAATGTATAAGAGTATATATTCCTTTTGTGCTGGTAAAAATACAGTTTATGTTATGCAACATTCTATTTTGAATTGAGAATATTATGGTGCTGGTGGGTGAGGCAGGGGCACAGTGCATTTTTGTAGAAATGTCTTATTAAGAAACATTGGATGTATAAAACCTTAAGGTATTTCTTTTTAATTCATTTCTATGAAGTGAGATGAGATCAGGTAGGTGAATCTAACTTGGGGGTGTTTTCTCAGTCAGTTAATTTTATATAATTATTTTATAACTTTTGCAAATGAGGTTGCAAGTCTGCAATTTTGATCTGCTGAAGAAGTGAATGCCAAGTTACTTTAATCTTGCCTATGGCAGTGAAGGTTTGGGTGGTGTATTTTTGTTTTTGTTTTCCATTATCACCTCTGACCTGCATCTGACACTATTTCTGTCTTTCTCTCCTGCTTACATTGCATCTTGAGTAGAATTGTGGAACACGCATCAGGAAGTGACAAAGCAAAAAGCTTTGGAAAAACTGAGTAAGGATATTATGAAAGGACAGAAACCTAACACTTTTCCCCAGCCTCCCCATAACTGCCAACTCCCTAAGCCTTTATTGAATTCCTGTGCTACACAAGCCATAGGGCAGACCAAGGAGGTCACTATTTTAAAAGAAATGTAGTGATGAGTTATACCCAAAAAACTATACTATCTCCTCCAGCCATGTTTCAACCTGTTCCTTACCTCTGAATTTAAAATGTATTTTACACAAGTTCTCGGGAAAATATTAATCTGTTTTCAATTCCCAATAGAAAAGTTCACAATTATGGTTTAATAACAGTGATTAAATACATTTGATGAGATTGGAAATAAATCTGGGGAATTTTATGAAAAAGTATGATTAAGATGTTCTGGAAGAAAATTTTGGTGTTTCATTTTCCTTATCAAGTTGTTCCTTGGTTATGATGATTAGGAAAGAAGAGGGTGTTGGCTACACAATGCCTATAGCAGAGACCATAAAAGTAGACATTGGATAATAATTCACATATAATTAAAGATATCTGATTTCCATTACCACTTGATTATAGGTAAAGGGCAATATTAGTTATCTGTCTGTAGACAGAGGGAATTTCGGGATAAAATGAACTGGTATAGAAGACTTAAGCGTACCTTTCTGTTTCTCCTTTTACTTCAGTTCAAAGTGTCCTTTCTTATAGACCTTTTGGCATATCGCTGCACTATAATATGCAGTTTTGTTTTGTAGTCTGTCTGAATCACACTTAAGGGTTCAACATTTCCACAAGACCATGGTCAAAATGTTTGGAGCTGAAAGGTTTTAGGGGCAAGCTTGAACCATAGCACCCATGCTTCTAGGTGTGCTCAAAGTGTGAGGAGCATTTTTCATCTCTTTGACATTGTGAGCAGTTTGTTCTGTTTGCATATTGGTTTTTTTTTGCTCTGGGATCTTTCATAGCAAGAACAAGGGGCAATTTGATCAATTGCTAAGATTTCATGAAGTAAGTCATGTGAAACCATTCATTCCAACTTCTAGTTGTCTTGAGGAGAGTCCATCAGGCTTAAGTCTTGGCAGTTAAGGACTAATCTTTACAACCATCTTTATTAGCAAACTGTTTTAGGCTGACTCTTGCTGCAGTGATCATGTACAATAATAATCTTCCACATTTCCCTTCTAAATGATCATCCAGTATTCCCAACAAAAACAGTTTTGGTTTCATTATAAATTTAACCTTTGCAATATATTCTAACATTATGTATATTTGAGTCCAATACTTCTGGGTCTTTAAAAAGACCATCACGTGTGGTAGATTTTGAACGGCAGCTGAGTGGTTGCATCTTTCTATATGAAGGTGTAGGCAGTCTACTCTTCAGTTAGGTTATTCACTTATTCCACCTATACTTGATCAGCTATTCTATGTACTGTATGTTGTACAGAACATCAAGTATATTTGGTCCTTCAAATGGTCATGTGTGAATTCACAGAAGTGACCCACCATCCATGTGGACGTGTTTTTTTGTTTTGTTTTTGTTTTTGCTCAGTTGAGTATTCAGCTATACCAATGGCCTGGGGAACCGAGTGGGAAAGTGGGAACTGCACCCAAGACTATGCAGATTAGAATAGCCTCATGTAAGCCACCCTGAGTCCCCCTGGGGGAGATGGAGCAGAGTATAAATAAAGTTATTATTATTATTATTATTATTATTATTATTATTATTATTAATCTTATTACCAAGTGTTTTCTGTACCAAAATTTTCTAAACACTGTGTAGAGCAAGCATGGAGCTTCAATGAGCAGATGGCTACTTGAAGAATCCCATTTCTAAGTAAACAACAGTATTCATTGAGGAGTATTCCACAAGTCAAATGAAATGTCACCACAGAGTGTCATTCGGCTGTATTCATGCCTGGTTCGATTAATATGTATTTAGTAATTTCATGATTGAATAAAGTAATACATTGATTTTATAACTCATTACCATAGAAAACAAGAGAGTGTCATTACTGGAAAGTGCGAGTATAGACTTGTTAAATTGAACTCAAACTATTTTTAGTACCAACTGGAGCAGGCTCATTAAATCAACAGTAAATTGTCAAGTCAACACGTATGCAATTTAGTTAGGACTAAATTGTATTTAGGGTAGTGGTTCTACTTTAGTTGGGGCAAGGAGTTGCATTTTGATCATTCACATTTGACTATAAGTTCAACAAAGATGCCTATTTTATTCATTAAGTAACTTCGACCAGATTTATTTTCCATTGTTCCTAGATTCTTCTAAAGAATGATGCTTTTGAGGATGTTTAGATAGTGTGGAATCTAATCTTATGAACTGAAGATTGTGCTAGCATACCGGTTAGAAATATGTAAACTTTCATTTTTTAAAATAAAGCTTGCATACTAATGTAAATTGTTATATAAGGAACACACAAGGCATTTTCTTCATCCTCAGAATATTATATTTTTAAAACTGGATTCTGTAGAAGTGGCCCTTATTCTGCAAAACTTGCATATGCATTGGCCAAGTGAGTGCAAAGGAAGCAACTTGTTTCCACAATGTTCATGCTTTGCAGAGAAGTCCTAGGTATGTCTACTTAGGAGTAAGACCCACTACATTGAAGAGGGTTTACTCCCAGGCATGTGGGATTGCAGCCTGTGTTTTGATCTGCATGCATATTTCTACTCTGTATGGGCTTTTTTACATAGGCTGACTGAGAATGTAAAGGCATTTAGTGCTCTCCCCCTATTACTGGTTGGGAGGAACGATTAAACTGAAATGCAAGTGACATTTAAACATGTTTGATAGAGGTACATTTTACGTGGCTGGAAGGAACTCCTTTTCCTATGCATATAGTGGTGTTTCCAGCAATACCACGAAAGCCAAACACCCATCCAAACTTTGTAATGTATATAACTGTAAATCACTTTAAGATATATTTTTACTGTACCATTAAAATCCACATTTTAATTCTGTGATAATATAGTAGTTGGAATAAATCTACATTTTAATTTTAACATTAACTGCTTCCAGTCCCATTATTTTTATTCCTCATTATCTATTTTCCCAATAGCATCTCTAACATCATAGTTGAAAACGTCTAGATGTGAATAAGTTTGGAAATACATGATAACACATCTGAATTAAGGTTATAAAATTACTTATTGGATGTACTGTGGAATAACACTCTTTAAAATGCCTTCCATTAAAACTTCTTTATGAAATGTCATTCAATACATACCAGTGCATAGGGCTTTTGGGATAAACTGCACATCTTTTAAAACAACATTTCTATTTATGAATAATAAGCTCATCCAAAACCTTTGCATTAATAAGCCTCTATTCATCCACAATTTATATATTTTTCTTTTTCTACCCTGCACTTTTTTCACTTTTTCTGGTGTTATTGGAAGCAAATGTAACATATTGCTTTGTTGGTACTCCTAACTCACCATATTTCGTGGTGTCTAGATATTGCTGTATTTTCTACATGGAGTTGCCAAATGAAAGTACCTGTACAAGTTTCAGACCTGTAATTCTTTTTTAAAAATCCTCCAACTGCTGGTCATGTGTCCCTGTTATGGAACAGTTGGCAGATATGGCTATGGCAGAAGCGTTGTGCTCAGTCTCTTCTCCCTTCTGAGCGCTTAATGGTGACCTGTGTAGTCTGTAGTGTATCCTTCTCCTGTCTCCTTACTCCCATTGCACAGTGCTTTTCAAACCCTTCCTAATTCTGTCTCTCCTCTCATCAGTTTTCTTTCTGTCTATCATCTCATCAAAAGAGGGTATAAAAATACGGGACTGCATGAATGTAGAAGAGATCCCTTCAGGGAAGAGGAATGAATGCATGTCTCTGCAGCAGCTGAAACCCACACTCACTGCTTCACCTATGTTATTGCAAACTCTGGAGAGCCATTCAGTACATCCCCCAGTGTTGCTTAATACTACTTTTTTGCTCCTATTCCCAAAATGGTTCACTTAAATCTCCTATTTGTGGCACACAAATTATTGCTGATGGCTTTAGCTGCTCTTGTCATGCATCCCTGAGTAAATGGGGTGGGGGGAATCGGTTGCTGGTTGTAATAAATTAGAGTAGTCAAGGAATAAGAATTAACTGCCTCCCCAAGAAAACAGCAACAATCCCACCCACTCCCTCATATCTGATAGCTAAAGATGTGGCTTTCCAGAGTCATGTGGTGACTGTTCAGCATGCCTTGTATTAACCAGAATATGTCTAATGCCTGTATTGTCTTTCCCTATTCTCCCATCCCTATAATGAATGATCTTTTAAAGCAGTCAGTCTGCTTCTCAGATGCATTGTTGTATTAAACAATACGATTGGTGTGGACAGCTGGGCCATATTGTTTTGTGTTAAGGAGAAAAACAACCAAAAGAAGGTATTCTGGTTTCTGCCTTGGTTTCACCCATACACTAGAGCAGTAACCTGCCTTCTGTTTCTTTCACTTCTCTTTTCATGCTAAGATAAATCTCTTTCCTTCTGCTTAGGATCAGAAGGTACAAAGCACATCTTTGATGTGGGAGAGACAGATGAGAAAAAATCGCAGATTAGTGCAGATAGTGGCGTGAGCTTAACCTCCAGCTCCCAGGTGAGTGTAATTGATTATTTCCAAGTGGTAAAAGAGTTGTGACAATTCTTTATCTGCTTTTAATTGTAGTCACGATATACTGAATATGAAGAGTCTTTAATATAACTATTCTAACAACACACCATTGGCACTGGTAGTGCACAGGGTATAGTATGTAGCCTGTAAATCCGAGAGTTTATGGGGTATAGTATGTAGCATGTAAATCCGAGAGTTTATGGGGAAGGATCGGCATTATAAATACAGATCTAAAGACCCAGAAAAAGCAGGGAAATATGAAGAAAACCTTTTTTCCCCTAAAGCTTTTTTTTCACTCTGGAAAAATTGAAACAGACATTGGAAGGATTTTAATGAAACAACAAACCATTTCTTGCATGTTTGTGTCTTGACAGATTGCCTTGTTCACAAACAAGGGGTTAAATTTGGGGTACCATACTTGAAAATATAGCTTAGTACCCACAAGAAATGATTTACTTGCTTCCTGCATTTCTAGAAAGAAATAATAGCAATTGAAAATGTCTTAGCTAGTACATCTTTTTGAGGATAATTGTGAAGGGAGCACTGTTCCTACTTCTGTTTAAAAATATAGCTTCCACCACACACATTCCTTAATTGTTGATTCTAGGTACTGGAAAACCTGAGTACTAGTTTTCATTTCCATGATAGAGTTGTGCCAAATTAAGTTGTTTATTCATTCAGTCACTTCCGACTCTTCATGACCTCATGGACCAGCCCATGTCAGAGCTCCCTGTCAGCTATCACCACTCTCAGCTTCTCACCACCCCCAATTAAGTACATTGAATAAAACTCCAAAAAGAAATACAAATGCCTAATGTGATTTTTTTTTCTTCCTGACCATTTGTGATTTCAGAAAAGTGATCCAGATTCTGCAACAAGTGTTGGACCTGTTGTTATGATCCGAAGCACCAGCCAAGATTCTGAAGTTAGCACAGTGGTAGGGCATGACCAGAGTGGAATGTCTGGGTTTGGCTTTTTGGGCTTGTTTGGTTGCTCTTTTTCTGGTTGTGTGCATTATAGGTTCTCCAGATGTGTCTCTAGTGTATGCACCCTTCTTAGATCACCACATTTATTTTTAAGCACCTATGGTTCTTATGGCAATTTCTATAGCATTGCCATATGTTTATATTTTCCTTTTAACAGCAACAACAGCAACAACAACAAGATAATTTCTTGTCCACTTCTCCCCATGGCTGTGACTGATTTGTTATCAAAAACTGTACTGTTGAGCCTAAGAGTTAACTTTTTTTGTGTTTTTCCTTGAGAATTTTGTAAATTTGACCTCTTACTATGTCAACTGAAAATGTGAGGACCAATACTTTATTTCCATTTGTTATAATGCCTGAAGAAGTACCAGTAAGATGTTTCAAAAAGTCTAGAGTTTCTCCATATTGTAGGATTTGGTGGTATAGGTCCCTTTGCAAAATGGCCCAGGATAGATACTGCTTTCCCATATTACTTTGGTTGGAATGATGGTATTATTGAGATTATTGAGTGGTGTTCTAAAACATCTTTGCTTTCAACATTGTAATGAGGGATAAATAAACACAGGAAAATATTTGTTTTCTTTTTCAGGTGAGCAACAGTTCTGGAGAGACACTAGGAGCAGACAGTGATTTGAGCAGCAATGCGGGCGATGGCCTTGGTGGAGAGAGTGGTGGAAACCTAACAGGATCACGAGGCACTGTATCAGATAGTGAAATTGAGACTAATTCTGCCACTAGCTCTATCTTTGTAAGAACCTGTTTTTTTGTTGTTGTTGCTAATATACGTCCATGAGCTTTTAAAGGGAAATGTTTATAGGAACAGGGGAATTTATGAAGAAATGCTAGGATTGTGTGACCAATTTTAACTATCATATATATCTATGTATATAATATCTTTCACTGTGTATATGTGAGAATCTGATATTTTATCATTTTTAACCCTGGAAACGCAATATAGACACATTGTGTGTATGTATGTGAATACACACACACATCAGACATTTGATGCCTTGTATGAATTTCTTAACTTTATATTTGATGTCAAATATATTATATTCGATGTTAAATATATTATATTTGATTTATACTTTATGTTAAAATGAAGTCCCTTAAACTTAGGGTGCAGTGAACTTTCATTTTCTCAAAACTACTTCTTTTTCACTGGAATGGTGACACACACACAGGTTGCATTTTTCATTTAATTTTAGTTGTTAAGTCATAATTTGTTTTATGTTGGGTTGTCAATTTTCATTATTATGGGTGCATTGTTATTATGTTCAGGCATTGAATGTCTGTCTGTCTTTTATGTTTGGAATCTGCCCTGAGTCCCTCTGGGGGGATAGGGAGGAATATAAATAAAGTTTAATTATTATTGAGTATACTCACCTTGCATTAATAAATAATAAATACTGTAATGTATTAATAAATATGTTTGAAGTTGAGAAACTGCTGAAGTTCTTGTTCTGGTCGTTTTTCATGTAATGGATTCTGCTTGAGAAGGCTACTATTTCCTCTGCAGAATAATCTTGATTTAATACGTAATAAGGAGGAAGACTAAGGCCAGAAGCTAAACCTGATGTGTCTAATATGTTGCCCCTTTTTCTTTCAAGGGTAAATCTCATAGTTTGAAGCAGACAATAAAAGATAATAAACCCAGCAGTCTGGCAAGAGCTGCAGAAGATTCAAGCCAACGTGTTTATCTCTGTGAGGGTCTTCTGGGTAAGAATTAATCTTTTTCATTTGTAATGTGATTGTTTAAATAATATATATTTTATTGAATTTGCAGCACTCCCATTTCAGTTTTTTAAAAGAATACGATGGACATTCTTGAATTAAAACTATTCTCACTATGCACGTACAGCACTTTTATACCACCCCTAACTGGCATGATTGTGTCCTGTGGAATATAAATTGTTTTGCAGGCTGTCCAGGTATCCAAGCAAAGTGCTGTTGTACAGCTACTTATCACTTTTATTTGCAAGGGATATTGTTAGAAAGTGAAGACGATAGGTAGCTGGAAGCTAGCGTTTTACTTGTGTCTGCTGGGTGGTGGCATGAAATACATATTCTGTTTTGTGTGTTGTATGGAAGGAGAAATAAACTGGGCTGATTTGTTTGTGGTCTTGAAGTAGGGATGGAAAACTTGCTTTGAGTAGAGAGCTTAAGGGTTATTTTGAATGGGAGATGGGAGACAGAGAGCCATTTTTCAGAATTCTGAATTGCCCTCTAGCTCATACTGCTTTTACAGTCCAATTACAATTGCCCATCAGACCCCTTATAATATTTGATTGCAAATGTCAGAACCATCAAATAAAGATCCTTCATACATGTTAAAAAAACTACCTCATGGACCAGATCACTAAACCTGTTTATTTAATTTGATTCAAGCTGGTTAGAAGTCTGAACTGTTCTGTACTTTCCACTACTTTATGGAATCAGCATACTTAAGAACACTGAGCCCCTGGTGGTGCAGTGAGTTAAACTGCTGAGCTGCTGAACTTGCTGACCAAAAGGTCGCAGGTTCAAATCCAGTGAGTGGAGTGAGCTCCCTCTCTTAGGCCCAGCTTCTGCCAACCTAGCAGTTTGAAAACATTCAAATGTGAGTAGTCAATAGGTACCACTCCAGCGGGAAGGTGATGGCACTCCATGCAGTCATGCCGGCCACATAACCTTGGACGTATTTACGGACAACGCCAGCTCTTCAGCTTAGAAACTGAGATGAGCACCAACCCCCAGAGTCAGACATGACTGGACTTAATGTCAGGGGAAAACCTTTTCCTATACCTAAGGACATGCTATTAAATATTGGGTGTGGTAATAGTCAGCATATCTTGGTGTGTTTGGATAGCTTTGACACTCTGTTAACTGTTTCTTGGGACTTTTTCTCACAAGCTTATTAATGCAGATAAATGTTCAGACTTGTCATTTTTTCTCTCCTTTGCTGCCTTGCTTGCAACTAAAAAGGGAGAGATAAAGGATCTGTCTGGGACCAGTTAGAGGATGCTGCCATGGAAACCTTCTCTATGAGTAATAATTTCTCCTTTCTGCTATTCTGTGTGTATGAACATTTTTTTGTGTGTATTTCTATACTCAGACTTTTTCTGCTCTTGTTCCTACATTTTCCATTTTTATGCATTTGGATCTATTCATAGGTGTGAGCATCCAGGATAAAAGGAGATTGGTGTGCTCTCATAGGACAGCTAGCTGTAGTTTGTGAGATGTGATGAAATGTGTTGGTGACACATTCAGTATCTTGCTCTCCTGTTTATTTTCATCTTCCCAATGTATTATCGCAACTGTGTTTTTAGCTGTTTGTTTATTTGATTTCTACATGTGATAATTTGTGTTTTCAGTTCAGTGTGGAAAGAGTTTGTGATGTGTTATATCAAAAAATTGAGCTGTGAATTAATATATTCAATGATGTCTAGGTAAAGAGCGCTCCACACTGTGGGACCAGATGCAGTTCTGGGAAGATGCTTTTCTAGATGCTGTGATGTTAGAGAGAGAAGGAATGGGAATGGACCAAGGGCCTCAAGAAATGATTGACAGGTATGGGACAGCTTTTCCCACATTTTATCTTAAGTATTGTTTCAACTGGACTGGAGTAGTTTCTGGGAATTTAGCAAGTGATTTCATTCTGAGTAATTTTGTTACAGGCAAGCCTCTAAATGTAATTCTTCATATGGAGTGCAGAGTCTGCCTCTTGATATGAATCGTTTGTGTTCTACTGGATTTGCTTGTCTTCTACTTCAGGGTCTGTAGAATGAAACTCTTTAAAAAAGAAATGTAGGCATACACTAAATCAAACTTTGGAACACCTAGTGCTGGATCTATGGAGTGATTTATTATACAGGAGAAACATAATAGATGAAGCTTTTTGCTTCCTTTCTTTGCCAAGTTTGTGGTTGAAAGTTCAGTGTTGGCTCAATTTCATGAATATTTTCTCCCCACAGGTATTATTCTTTAGGAGATCATGACCGAAAGCGTTTAGAAGATGATGAAGATCGCCTATTGGCTACACTACTTCACAATATGATAGCCTACATGCTTATGATGAAGGTGCCATTTAAATTTTTAAAGAGTAATTCAGCACTTATGAGACTTCTAGTGTTACCATAGTGATATTTGCATATTCATGTTTTTAAAGCATATGCTGTGTTTATATTGCTCTTCAGCAAAATTCAATCAATCAAGGAATGTAAAAGCAATTAAAAACAGGAAATTAGAATACAGATTTGGCATTAGAACAATAATAATGCAGTGATCCAAAGCAGATAAAAATATCTGACAGAATTTGCAAAGTATCTGCCTAGTATCATTCCCTCTATGCACAGTCTTGCTTCAAATGTTTAAAAAAACAACATTTAAAATGGAGTACCAGTATGCCTGGGTGGAGGTGTCCCTTTTATGCTACTTGAAACTGGGATTGATGAAAAATCTCTGGGAAAGGAAAGACTGAGAGAATTTAATTAAACCATTCCATTGCCTTTCCATCAGTTTAAAGATGTGGTGAGGAGAGGGATAGAGAGAAAGATAGCAGGGGCTACGGTCCCTATATGAATCACTAGCATCTAACCTAGGTATTTCAAAACAGCACTATACTAATTCCTCAAAAATGTCATACATTCATGCCTGATTTTAAGTTTTTAATTATATATATTAGGCTTATGTTATACTTTTGGGGGGATTGTTAATAGAAATCAGTATTCCTGTAGTTACAACAATTACAAAATGCCGCATTTTGCTTTGTAGGTACAAAAGAGTGATATTAGGAAGAAGGTACGCCGTTTGATGGGGAAATCTCACATTGGCCTCATGCATAGTCAAGAAATAAACGATGCACTTGACAAAATTTCTAACATGGTAAATTCACATTTACTACCCCTGTATCTCTGTTTTTGATGGGCATTGAGAAACAGAATTATTAGTATTTGTTTGTACTCCACTACAGGTGGCATTATTTATTGTCCGTAATTTGAAATTAGATGTAGGTTACAAATGAACACACTTATTTTTACAATATATTTAAAGCAAGATCAATATAGTGCAAATAGAAGAAACTAATTCACAGCTCATTCTCTTTCTTTGTATAACTGTGTGTAAGCTTTTCATAAATCTATTAGGATATTGTCTTACCTTATGCATTTTTTTTATTATGAGGAATGATGGGACTCAGATATAGATGCAAATTTAACCAGGAATACCTTGCATGAAATAGAATTGCCTTCTTATTCAGAACAGTGGATCTGAGTTCAAGTCTTTTGGGGCTTCCTGAGAAAGTTGATTGGGCCACAATGTGAGATCCCTGCACTAGGTTGGTGAACAGTAACCACTCTGTGCAAAAACTCATCCTTAGAAGCTGAATAAGTATGGGGCTGCTTTCGGTGGAAATGACTAGTGCTATTGGGACACTAAGTAAGTAGCTGAACTGGCTACTCCTGACTTCACTAATGAATTTCTCTGTCTTGGTAGGAAGACTTTGCACATCAAATGTTGGGCTGCTTAATAACTCAGACCTTTCTCCGTTCTCCTGCTCATTACTTTGATAATAAGTTGCTTTCCAAAACTTACAGTAGTTCTTATTTGCATCTTTTAAGATGCCCCTGTTAATTTGCTTTTGACATTTCAGTGACATACATAGTTGAAAAAGGACATTACTTGCACATGTATATATAAATCGTGTGCATATATTTATATACATACACAGATGTATGTGTACATATGCAGGTGTATTAAAATACAGAAATTGCTGTAGTATGGAGAATATTTATTGTTTCTATGAGCAGGGTAGCTTGCTCTGGAAGTATTCTTCCATGCTTTTGCTAAAAAAATGAAAAATATTTGGGGTCCTATCTTTTAATAGATTCTGCTCCCTTGCTCATGATTGAAAATGTGTAGCTATTGCTTGTGCATGTTATACTTTTGAGATCTATGAAAATGTATTGCTAGTATGATTTTAAAAATCTCAACCAAGTACAATCAGTGTGAGCAATCTCATGTCTCACTAATTATAATCTGAGGGGGAGGGGATTAAGCATTGTGTAAAGCTAGGTAATAGAAGGAAGGAAAACAGCTCTGACCCTCAAAATTAAGAGCTATATTATACTGTTGTAGCAAAATTTCCTATTTCTGTTTTAATCAATGTTCTTTAGTGGTGCCGTCCCATCTTAGAGACCTTTTTTTGTGCTGGTTATAGAGATAGCACTTGTTAAAGATGCATTTAAGCTGACGGCTCCTATTTGGATTTCCCCTCTTCTTTTTAGAATGGCAGAGAGCTTGCAATTCGACCCAGCGGAAGTAGATACATCAAGAAGCAAACGTTTGTTGTACATGCTGGAACAGATACAACGGGAGACATCTTCTTCATGGAGGTAATTGCTGAATATAATGATAACAAAGCTACTGCTGTTATTTAAGTTGTCTTATGAATTTTGTCTAAGAATATTTATTTTCCCAGGTATGTGATGATTGTATTGTGCTGAGGAGCAACATTGGCACTGTGTATGAGCGCTGGTGGTATGAAAAACTCATTAATATGACATACTGTCCCAAAACAAAAGTACTTTGTCTGTGGAGAAGGAATGGCCAAGAGACACAACTGAACAAGTTCTACACCAAAAAGGTACAGCTTCTATAATGTTCTGTCACAATAGAAAGATTTTTTGGCATTTAATATGAGATTGTCGTTAGATGAGGTGTGCAGGAGTTATCCTGGAATGGGTTTGTCTTCCTATTCCATTCAACAGGCAAGCTCGTCAAATAGACATATTGCTATTTTCTGACACCAGAAGTGACTTGCAGTTTCTCAAGTCACTCCTGACAGAAAAAAAAAAATCCTGATGCTTATCTATCTTTTGTCCAGGTTTTGACATTGAGCCAACCAGCAACTATCTGACAATTTGAAAAATTGTAAAAAATGTTAAATACCAGAATTGTTTCAAGGGGTCAAACAGGGTGAATTATTTATCACTGGTGGTAATTTTAAACTTCTGAAGGGAGACATGTTCCACTTTGTTAGTACAATGTGAGTTTATGGTAGGATAGATTGAGTTGAGAACATTCTGAAATGTTTGCTACCTAAAAGTATTTTACTGTAATTTGGGGCTGCTGTAATACATTATTTAATAAAATGGCAAATGGACATCTGTACCTTTACTTACAGAGGTAACCCATAATACCATGTAACACAGTCTCTTTTCAACTGAATGCCTGCTTACATCTCCTGTAAAAATTAAACAATAATGCTGTACAGCCTGATTACACCTTGTTTTTTGCTCCCTCTTCCCAAACAATATTTTATAATACACCACTCCTAAAATAATACAGATAAAAAAATGTCCCCCAAGTTAACAGTCAAAAGTATAATTGCCCTCTCTTTCCTGTACGATAGTAAAAGTGATGTAAATTTGGTTTCATTTGATAATATTATTAGGTCTTATGGTACTAATAATACACACATACACCTAATTATAATTCCAGCTAGAGTAAGCTGCCTTGAGTCCCCTTCAGGGTCGAGAAAGTCAGGGGTAGAAATGAAGTAAATAAATAAAAGTATTGTCTACACGTCTGATTCTTTTTTTGGTTTTGCTTGTTGGTAGTTTGTGTGTTTGTGATCTTCATTTCTGGTTATTGCATAAGTTCTTTGTGTTTGAATTTCTAATGTATATCTGCAGAAACATATTACCACATAGATGTATTTTGCTTTCCCCTTTTACAGTGCCGGGAATTATATTATTGTGTAAAAGATAGTATGGAGCGCGCAGCTGCAAGACAACAAAGCATAAAACCAGGTAAAAATCCTTAAAAGGAATACATAAAACCTTTTCCAGAGTTCTTCTAGAGTTTTGAATTGCATGAAGTGTGCCATATTAAAGGTTTTGTCATTACATGCTTCTTATTTGCACTTGGCGTGTTGATGCTCAAAATTAATGATTTAATTATTGTATCCTCTATGTGGATAAAAATTAGGAAAATTAGGGAAAAGGTTGAATTGGATATTAGAAATGGAATGGGGAAGAGTAAAGTAGTTAGTTTCTTTGGTCATACTTATGTGATGCGCAAACACATTGACAAACAATAAACAACTAAATGTGGAAGTGGAAATTGTAACTGGAATAAATACATAATGCCAGCCATATTTTTTTGTTATTGACTAGATTGATGCTTTAAGAGTACTGGATACAGCAGGAATGAGTACCAACAAAACACCCCTCTGAGCAAAAAAGAACAACCTTGTTCTTTGTTTAAGTTGTTCCTGTAATTCTAGTTTTCATTTTTAAACTAATAGCAAATATGTATAAACAAATACTGTTTTGGGGGCTTCTTTTTCTCTACTGATTCAGACAGCACTTCCAGAAACAAAGGCAAGCTAAAGGTACACAAAGCTGCAAGATCATGTTTAGATACTAACAAATTCTTCAACTGTAGATACTACCATATCTAACCCACAGCTTATCGAATTAGACAAATTTGTCATCTTGCTAAGTCATTTATCCCACCCACCCATTCAATTAAATAGGGTTCTTCCAAGTTTCCAAATATGAATTATCCCATAAAGTTAATTGCGCATGGATATAATTCAATTTGTTGAGATGTTGCAATCTTAAGTTCTTTAGATTCAAGAAATGTGGAGAGAATAAAGATTTTTCTGATATGTTTACATTGTAAAGTTACATCCACTTAGGAAAGAGGTCAGGCAGGAAGAATACAAAACACCCCAAGATGGAGATTTCAGCAAACAAAAAGGATACCAGTGTTGCCACCAGTCAACAAGTAGACATGATGATTTTAATTGAGATAGGAAAATCAAGTTTGCCTTTATCTGAATGAAGGTTGCATCCTCTTCAAGAAAATCTAAGACAGGGATGAGCTCCACATAAATTTCCAAGGCAAAACTTTAAATTTTAAATGAGGAGGTCTGCAAAGTTCATAAACTCTCTGAGATATAGTATTTACTTGGATTGTATTGACATTACTGTAAAGGTTAAATTTAAATGTGCTTGTCTGTCTAAATCCTGTGGTCAGTTTGTTCGAATTTAGCATACTATATGGGAAATATTCTTGGTAATTAATATTCCAAGATTAATATTAATATGGCACATTGACACACTAGTATATTGTCTCCACCCATATTTTGACAGTTTAATCAAATAACCAGATAAATCTCTTAAAACATTAATCATGCTTAATGTTCAGAAATAAACAGTAAAAGACAATCTACCTAATGAATAATTTTAAATTTTGAAGAATCACGTGCACAGTGACTTGTTACATTATGGTGTTGCTTTTACTTATCCATTTTATATAAAATGGAAATGAGTTTCAGCTTTGTTATGTGGAGGTAATTTTGTGCTGAGATTTTAATACAGTGTGAAGGATTTTAGGCGTCTATAAATCATGTTTAATTAAGGTGCATTTTTTTCTTTTCTCCATACTCCTTTTGCGCTGCAGGCCCTGAATTAGGTGGGGAATTTCCAGTACAAGATATGAAGACTGGTGAAGGAGGGCTTCTTCAAGTCACACTGGAAGGAATTAACCTGAAATTCATGCACAGTCAGGTAGGAATTAATCCCACAGCAACAGTATTTGTGCATGAAAGCTTCTTGAAGCACACCAGTAAATGTGTTTCCTCTTCCCAGTACTGACAAACAGAAGAAACATGCACACATACGAAGAATCATGCTGGATTAGACCAAGGACCTATCAAGTCTAACAGTCCATCAATCTGTTAAATCCTTTAGTGTCACTATAATTCAGAAACAACTTGAGGGTACACAACAACAATGAGCACTTACGTTGACTTTAATGGACTTTAATTGGCTATTTTAATGCCCGTTCCCCCAGATTGTATCAATCCTTCTGGGCTCCTCCTTAATATTTTGCTCTGAATGTATCAGTCCTTTGGAACCCCTTCAGATTCCGCTTTTTTCAAAAAAACTTTCTGCAATCGGAATATTTTGGTTTTAGACAGATAAATTGTGATTACCAACTCTGTAATATCAAGTTAATGATTATTAGAATAACCAAAAGGATTTAAAAAATCTATAACTTATTTGCTGCTAGTATACAATGGGGTTGTTCATTCAAGATTTGCTCTACAGTCTATAGACCAGAATGTCTTTTGAACTGAAAAAAGTGCAGTTCAGATTATGATGCAAGTATAACTATGTTTGATTTCCTGAAACACTTGTAGAATATTTTATAGCAGGCATGTGCAAACTTTGACCCTCCAGGCTGGTAGGAACTGTGGAAGTTGAAGTCCAAAACACCTGAAGGACCAAAGTTTCCCCATGCCTGCTTTATAGTCTTGGAATGCTCTATGTAGAGTGGATGGATATTGCAAAAACACATTACCCAACACCATGGAGCAGTTTACTCACCATCTAATTGTGCTTTATTCTTGCCAACTCATATTATATGGAGGAGAGGGGTAGATCTGGTAGTTGTAAAGATACTTAAAAAAAATATGTTCTTGCATTTTTATGGTTCTTCTGTTAAAATGTAGAAATTAGTCAATACACAAGTCTGTTTTCCCCCATTCAGCTACAAACACATTAAATATTTGCTTTCTTTTTAAATATAGCATTATCTCTGGGTATAGAGGATACACAAATACAACTGTGTGTTCCTTTGTTCCTTTTTCTGGATGTGCTTTCTGCTTCTCTTGATCATTGTTTTTCTTTTGCTTTGTGTTCATGTTTGTTTTGCATATGTTGCAGAATTAGGGCTGTGTGTATGTATGCCTGTGAGCGTGAGAAAGAGAAAGAGATTGAGAGAGAGCGTGAAAGAGAGAGTATGTAAAGGAGAAAGAGATAGTTACATTGTCAGTCAGTCTTTTGTGCAGTGTTCTGTTTTTCTTGTAAGCTCGCCTTCTACTGTTGCGAGTTGTGGGCTGAATTTCAGTGAAGCTGCGTATATATAAATGGGAGAAATGTGCATGCAGGTGGAAGCTTTTTAAAAGTTTACACCGAAGCCACATGCACTGTTGAAGAGTCAAATCTATTTTCAGTTTAAGATTAACAATCTTATGAGATTGCCTGGTTACAAAAAAAGCAACTTTTTTCAAAAATTGTAGCTATGAAGTGCAGAGTGTCAGCAGTCAAATTTCATTTTATAATTTCAATTTGAATTATATGTTGCTTGAGCAAATATGTGTTCCCAGACATGCGTATGGTAATACAAATGTGGGAACTTGGGCAGTAATGGTGAAAAATTTGGGAGATGAAATAGCCCAACTGCTACCCATTGATTCTTTTTTTGTAAAAGCCTCCTTCTAATGTCCAAGTTCAGCTCATTTCTTATTTTGGAGCCCACCAGGTGGTGTGGGCAAAAATAGATTAAAGCAACATTCAGAGGAGCCATTTAAAATAGACAAAAAAGCTCAAGCACTGCTGTCCTACATTTGCTCTTGCAAAACTCCTCGCCATCCTATTTAAGCCTTCCAGTTCAAGCTGAGTCGAATCTCCAAATTTGCCTCACAAACTCCCCTTCCATTGCTAGATTTATAGAAATAACTCCATGTGAGTTCTCAAATTATAAATTATTCAAATCATTTTTCTGTCTATTTAAACTACCTATGTGTTGTACTCCATGGCAGGGAAGTACCCCTGCACTTAACACACACTCCAGTCCAAGGTAAAATAGCACACAATTTATTGAAGAATATATATAGTAAGCAATTCAGCAAAATAGTATAAGAAACCAAAAGTACAAAAATCAGAGATAATCCACAGAAAACAAGGTACCTGAGTAGCATCCAAAAACCCGGAATACAAGAGCAGAATAAATCCAAAACATGAAATTCAGGAACAGTCCTCAACACTTGAAACAGGAACAAACAGGAAACATGAACATGCACTAGAAATCTCTTGACTTGACAGAAGTTCTATCCTCAATCTCCAATATTGCTTCCACTGACCAAAGATTCTGTTGGCCTAGCTAATATAGATAGAAAATTGTGCCTTTTCGCATGGGAAACTGATAAAGACTTTCTTGATAACAAGCAACTTGATCTTCGGACTTTTTCATGAGAAACTCTATGTTGATGAAATGTAAATCTTCTATTGAATTACTCATTCGTCTGTCTACCTGGATTTTCACTATCATCCTCTGAGCTCAGTTCTGTTGGAGTGTGGCCTTCAGAAAGAGACTGCTCATTTTCAGGGTCTAAACTCTCTAGTTGCTCCTGCTGACTTTCTTGCTGACTTGCAGACTCAGAATCCCTTGTGACAACAGGTTGACTAACAGGCCCAGAATCCCCAGAATTCTCTAAGAGATCAGGTGCAGGCACAATAAAAGACCGAACTACAAATTGAGTTGCCGATAGGCTGAGAAAGGCGGTATACAACTATAGTAAATAATACATAAAACACTATGGAGGGAACATCTTCTTCAGCCTCAATCCCTTCAGCTCCCATTAGAGTAATTTTATTAAATTAGTGAAACTTACGTAAATATTGACTATTCAAGTTACATCAATTCAGTGGCTCTGGGGTAATGGAGACCAACAATAAAATATAAGCCTCAGACACAGGAGTAAATACTAAAACTGTTCATATTACTATGTTTTAATACATTGTTTTACTATGGTTTAAAGGAAATACACATACACAAATGGATTTGTTTCAGTATTTCCTGAAAGCTCAGGGTAGCAGACATTTCAAAAAGTAACTGTGAATTTACGATGTAAGGAGTGAAAAATCCAACAATAGCTAAGCACAATCCATTTTAAATATTCCCAACACACATACATCTGCATTTGGACTACTGGAATCCTCACAATCTTAGGGATATCACAATTTAAATCAGAAGAATTTTAAATACTTGTTTGTTCTAAGATTTTGATTTGCCAGTTTCCCAAGAGGAGGAAATTCTTCCAAGATGAAGCAACCATCCTGAAGCTTCTGTATGTTCCTGAGGCTTGTATGAAATTTGGCTACATATATAAGGAGTGTGTGTAGAAGATAAACTTTGAGGCTTTGGGGGGTCAAAGACCATACTAAACTGTGCCTAGAAATAGTAGGGTGAAGTTAGAAAATAGGAGAGCACGAGTATCTGCAGCATTTGTTGCCATTTGCCTCATGAATGCACTTGCCTTTCCCCCCAACATCACTTCCCAGAACTCAAGGATGTTGTCTTTGTTTTCCTTGGGGATTTAAATTAAGGCTTCTACTTATATTGGGATTAGGTTGAACCAGTAAAGATATGTGCAAAAGCTGTCTCTGGCTGCTTTGGAGGGACGAAGCTAGAGGGGCTTGTCACTTAGGGAGGAGCAAAGTGACAAGAAATTGTTGAAAGAGAAATCTATCAAGTTGTGGTTTGCAAGGATGATACACACTGAAGTAATAGCTTAGGGATTTGTGTTACTCTGACCTCTGACCATATGTGTAGAATTGTTTGCAGTAAGAGACTTTGTTGACTGATATTAAAAGCTACATTTTTCAGTAATTAGTCTTGTGTGATGGAATTTCCTCTTTTTAATACCTCTAAGTTCTAAACAAGAAATTGCACGGAGGACTCGTTTTATCTTAGTCTTTCAATTCATGGATTGATTATATGTTACTTTATTATATATCCTTTATTAATTATTTCTGTTTAGACCAGGGGTCCACAAACTTTTTAAACAGAGGGCCAGGTCACAGTTCCTCAAACTGTTGGAGGGCCGGATTATAATTTGAAAAAAACATGAATGAATTCCTATACATACCACATATCTTATTTGTAGTGGAAAAATCACTTAAAAACAACACAATAATTAAAATGAAGAGCAATTTAACAAATATAAACTTATTAGTATCTCAATGGGAAGTGTGGGCGTACTTTTGGCTCATGAGATAGGATTGTTGTCATTGTTGTTATGTGCTTTCAAGTCGTTTCAGACTTAGGTTGACCCTGAGCGAGGGCCGGATAAATGACCTTGGAGGGCCGCATCCGGCCCCCGGGCCTTAGTTTGAGGACCCCTGGTTTAGACCATCAGAAATGGCTGAGTAAATTTATTAAGTCATTAAGATGCAAAGTAAGAATTACAAATGTAAGATTTGAGTGAAAACTGAATTGACATTGTTTGATAGTTAGCAAACTGGTGTATTGTTGCTATTTTGTAAGCTGCCCTGAGTCCCTCTTGGGAGACAGGGCGGGATATAAATAAAGATATGATTATGATTATGATTATATTAATAGTTATGTTTGTCTTATTGCACAACTAGATAATAACAATGTAGAACAGGGATACAATTGATTAAATAGCATTGTAAGGGTCAGGATTATATGGGAGAAGAACTGGAGAGCTATACAATTATAGTGTGGCCTAATATAGAATTTGAAAAGGCAATAAATAAAAAGATAAACCTGAAAATGTCTCACAGTACATTTATTACAGGAATTTAGTTCTGTGGGGCTTCAGATATGCTAACACAAAAGAATATCATACTTTCAATAAAACACTCTTCAATGTCACATTTCATATACCTATATATTACAACCAGCTCACCTGATCATAGTCAGTAGATACTGAGAAAGAATTCAGAATGGACTCAAAATTTATTTCATGCATCCAGTGTTCCTAGTGATATCCTGTATTTTTTTCACTTTTGAGATACATGGTTTTTCCACATAAACATCTCTAAAAACAGGGTGGTTCTTAGTATCATGTGTGTGTGTGTGTGTGTGTATTTGGTATCACTCGTGGCTGAGTATGATGGTCTTCCAGGTGTAGAGTCTTGGCAGTGGGTCTACAAGTGACTGTAGAGACCTATTCTGGATCCGCATGGTCTTTTGCAGTGAGGACACACATTTAGATTAGCTTTACAACAGATGAGGCTGCCAGCAGTAGAATTTAGATGTCATTCATTCAGAATTAGAGTCACTAATATGCTTGCTAAGTATGGAATCCTAGTGGGGACTATTATGAGACTGGGGAGATAGAAGTCTAGGGCTCATGTACATTATAGGCGGTCCCTAATGTACCTGTTCCAGCTTACATACAAATTCTATTTAAGAACAAACCTACAGACATATCTTGGGTTGCTGTGAGATTTTCGGGTCGTATGGTCATGTTGCATCTGTGGCTGGCATCTTCAGAGGTTCTGTTGGCAGTGAAGCAAGTGGAGTGTATATATATCTGTGGAATGTCCAGGGTGGGAGAAAGAACCCTTGTCTGTCTTATTCATAACTTGGGGACTGTCTACACACATACACACAATCAAAGCAGGCTGATTTCCTTTTGTGTGTGAATACAGCTGAAGCATTTAGTGCATGTTATTGCTAACAAATTCATGTAAAAGCAGCCACTCGGTGGCAATGTATACACATTTTTCAGATAGGGAATCCCAGACAGGGTTGTGACCCACAGGTTAAATTACATTGATCTATTCAACCAAAGTGTTAGGGTGGACACATAGCTGTTGCTATCCTCATTTTGAATATATATGTATGGATTTTTTTTAAGGAAAGGTATTCACATGAAGAGGAAAGAGTTAAAAATATTTGGATATGAAACCTATCATTTATGTCCTGAACCAAAGTGCTAAATTAATGAATGGAAAATGGTTGTAGATGACATTGGGTATTAGTTTCTCAAAAATTCAGATCATATATGTATGTGTACACACACACACACACACACACACACACACACCCCTACATTGTTCCTAGATGTTTTCTCTTTTGCATGACTAAATGGAAATATAATGGATGGTTTGATGCCATTTAAATCTAGGAATTAGAGAGTTTACATAATAGTTTTCCACTTGTCAATTTTGTCCTATATTTATGTCTCCTAAATTATTGTAGGTCAAAAGAATATCTTATCAAATATTGAAATCAAAGTAGCCTCAAACCGTGTCCTTGTTTCTATTTATTATATTACATCAAGTATCCATGACAGAATATGGTGTCTCGGTTCATTCAGTTTATAAGATGGAAATGTGAGATTCACTTTTCCAGATAATTTGAGATATATTTTGTAATTGAACTGGAGATTCAGAGCAGTTGTTTATAGCTTATTTGATGGACAGTAGCCAAACAGAAGAGTTATGAGGGAAAAAGAGTGGATGACAAATTAGAAGTGACACATAAAATGCATTTACCTTTCATATATATGAGAAATTACTGACGTAGTAGAAACTCCAGAAGTCTGTAAACTATTTTTATTGTATTGAATGAAAGACAGATTTAAAAGTAACAAGTCAATTTAAAAACATACATATTTAAGCACTATTTTAAAGTCTGCAAGACAATGTAAACAGTTCAGAAACAAATTTGCAAGATTTGAGTGTTTTTTTAAATGCATTTTCACATTATACTCATTAACATTATTATTAATGAGGAATAGATTGTCTTTCCTCTTTGCTGCTTATCATATGCACACACTCAAGTAGACTGCATGTCCTTGTTGAGGTAGGAAAGGGAGACTGAGCTGTCCAAGTGACAACTCTCCAGAACAGTGATTCTCAACCTGTGGGTCCCCAGATGTTTTGGCCTTCAATTCTCAGAAATCTTAGCAGCTGGTAAAGTGGCTAGGATTTCTGGGAGTTGTAGATCAAAACACCTGGGGACCCATAGGTTGAGAGCCACTGCTCCAGAGCTTCTCATACTTGGGTGAAGGAATACCTCCAAGAACCTTTTCAGTTAATACAAGGTCTAGTTTGAAAAAATTGCAGTCGCTGTTTAGTCAGCTGTGAGACATATTTCTAAAGGAAACATTTTTGTTTCAAGGATATTCTGTCTTTCCCCAACACACTGTTTAAATATTTTCCCACTGTAAAATGCAGTTGTGCCTTTTTATATTTTAGTATGAAATCTCTCTATACGCACACCTGCATGTGCTTTTTAGATAGGACCCCCCATGAGATTGCTCAGTTTGAGTGGCATAGATTTTTCCCATTTTTCCCATTGTAGAAATGTATGCTATTTTGTAGCTGTTTTCTTTCTTAAAAAAGTAAAGAAAAGATTATTTCATAGGCAAGTACTTTCTCTCTCTGGTACCCAATGTCGTATTGTGACTTTTGAAGGGACAGAACATGCTATTTTCTTCTACCTGCTTTCTTTGCCTCACTTAGCTCCCTAATCTGGCCACAGAAACCTTTCATTTCATTTTTGGGAGATGGCATATTTTACTGTTGTCATCTTAGGTATCCTTATGTAGGAGAAAGTGATTGGGATTTTTTGTTTCAAACGATGCAACTCTTGATTCACCTTGCTGCACTTTCCTCATAAAATCATAAATGTCTCTACTTTGCTGAAGTTATATTTGTCAAGATAGGGGTGGAATGTGCGAGAAAACATTTTGGGTCCTGAATGGATAGCTTGCTTATTTCCCTCTGCTTAGTTTGTGGGTCAAAGGAAATAAAATCTGTAGCTTCATTTTTCTCACTCAGTCTCATTTTATTTTAGCGTTTAGTATCAAATTGTAGTCACTAAATCCTGAATGATGATGATGTTAGTCATGGAAATATAGCAAACCCCTGGTTTGGGTGGGATGCATGGCACCTCTTGCCTGCCCTCTGTGCTGGAGGAGGATGCATGGAGAGGCATACATTTGGTGGGATGGGACAGGATCACAAATGACAGACCAAAATTTGGGAGTAGTCTGTGTCCCTCCTTCTGTTGCATTTCAAAGTGTGTGTTTTTTTGTTTTTGCTGAGTGCCTGAAAGGGTAGCAATGTTGGATATGTCAGAGTTACTAACTCCTTCATTTCTCTTCCATGCTTTCTCCTCCTGCAAGGAGCGGAAGGTACTCCATCTTCTGCTGTCTTTGCTTCTTAGCGTGTTAAGTTTGTTGATTTCTAGCACTGTGGCAATTTTTCAATATTTATTTTTGAATTTCCCTTTCTTTTGTTTTAAATAGTAAAGTGTAGTTGAATTGGTAGTGCTACAATATTCCAGGTTATAACTGCTGTAGTGTGTTCTTTGGATTTTGTTTTATTTTAAACTGGGCTCCTCCTTTATACTAATCATATGGTTTTTCTCCTGTCTGCTTTCAGGTTTTCATAGAGCTGAATCACATTAAAAAGTGCAATACAGTGCGAGGAGTCTTTGTCCTGGAAGAATTTGGTAATTACATTATTTTGATACTGGGTTTGTACTGACATGGCAGTAACTCAAATTTCCAGTTGCCTCCATGAGGCAGAGCTGTATCTTTTTGCTTATAGGCTTTACTTTTGTTGGAGTGGGAAGGTGACTTAGGATCAAAGAAAAAGCACATAAAGCAGCTTGTGCCACATAAATCTTAGATAATAAGAAAGACTAAGGGTGCAAAAATATAGCATTTCTAGGTTAGGTGCTGTGGAAGCATGGAAATGTAAAAAAGTAAACTATTAGATGTGACATGGGATAGAAAGTTAGGACATTGAAAAATACTCTAGTTTGGGGAATTGAGTTGTAAAATCTATGCTGCAAAAATCATTCTCCATTAGATTGATAGAGGTGTCTTAGGATTGCTCTGAGTTTGAAACAACTTGAAGGCACACAACAACAAGAAGCTATAGTCCTCTCCCCCAACAGTCTTTGGGACCGTGAATTGGCCCTCTGCTAAAAAAGTTTGAGGACCCCTGATCCAAGGTGTACTGTAGAATCTGTTGTCCATTATGTGCATGATCAATTAACTCAAATTGTCAGAAAATATAGTTGGATATAATATATAATGTACTTCTACATTATACTTTTATACTCTTCCCAAAACATGGGAATGTCTCCAGGAAACATAATGTTAAATTTACTTTTGTTGATGGGAATATAAGGAAAAATGAAAGAAAAAGAAAGAGTGTTTGTTCTTTTGTGTTCTATTATTTTTATTACATTTTTTTAAATAGATGAATGCAAAGGAATCCTTGGTGCATGTATTTTCATCTTGAATAATTTCAGAATCAAAATATGAGAATGACAACACAAATACTGCAACAATGAAAAACTGTTTTAGCTTTCTTATACCAGGAAGATTTTTTTTAGTTCTGAATGACAAAACAATGTGGCCAACGAATTAACTTTACCTTGCAAGATCATCATTTTGTGAGGTTATTGTCTGAGGAGAATGTAGATGGAAGTGTAATCATAAGGTGCTTGTATGGGTTGTGGTGCTCTGCTGGGAGGAATTGTTTACACCAGATGCGGCAGGTTTCTGGCTCTGAAATTTGAGTTACTGCTATGTATTTGTGCTTTACTTTTTGTGGCCCCCTTCACTGTTGCTGCTATGAAAACCTTCATTCTCCAGCAGGTAAAGTGATGCCCTAGTCCTATTTCTTTATTAGTACTTTGTATTCTCGTTCACAGGACAAGAGGCTACCGTATGGAACTTGTGTACTTATTCGCTTTGTGTACTTTTTCTTTAACAACATCAGTCATCAATTCTTATTACAGTAGAGTCTCGCTTATCCAACCTTTGCTCATCTAACGATCTGTATTATCCAACACAGTCTGCCTCCCACCCGGATCCACAGCTGTTTCAATACATTGCAATGTTTTGGTGCTAAATTCGTAAATACTGTAATTACTACATAACGTTACTGTGTATTGAACTTTTTCTGTCTGTTTGTTGTAAAACATGTTGTTTTGGTGCTTAATTTGTAAAACCATAGCATAATTTGATGTTTAATAGGCTTTTCCTTTATCCCTCCTTATGATCCAATATTTTTGCTTATCCAGCATTCTGCCAGCCCATTTATCTTGGATAAGCGAGACTTTACTGTACTTTGGTTGGGGAGTGGGAGAGATAATTTATTTTAGCTGGACTTTTTATAATAAAAATATTTATTTACTTCTGAATAATCGTATTTTAAATTTGTTTCTTAAACCTATTTGTTTCCTGTTGAAGAGATTACAGCACAGCCCTTGAGTTAGGGAAGCAGCTAGATTTAGTGAACACTGATAATCCCAATGCTAAAGCTGTATTTCTCGATCAGGGACTTTACAGGTCCCACTTTGTCTTGTCTTTCCCTTTTGATTGTTTTCTTCTAGCTAACCTTCTTGTCTTTCAAGTTATTGTATTAGCTCTGGTGTGGCATCTTTTCATGCTTTATTTTTTAACCCTTCTATGGTAATACAGAATAGTGATTCTGCTGGAATAATTTGATACAAGTGAATTGAGTAATTTAGAGACTAAACTAAGGACCTTATGCTTTCTCTGACTCAGTTCCTTAATGCAGGAGTAGTGCCCTATGGGCATGCATGTCATGTTTATATAAATGGTATTTTCTCAGACCTTTCCAAACATGTTGATATTGTGTTGCAGTTATTGCCACATACTTTTGAAATGTCAGCATCACTCTGTTTACATCATTTAATCTTTAGTGCATCGTATTAGTCTATTTCCTTGGTAGCATTTATACACTTACTTCTGAAAAAATTGTGTGGATTTCAGGTACCATCCCTTTTCACACACACCCCTCCCATCATTCATATTATGTTCTATTGTTCATAGATTGTCTTTTTTCTCTCTTATTAGGTGATGTTATGGTTGATAAGATACTTCCTCTTCTTATCCTTCTTTATCTATCATAGATAATCAGTAGATATTTGTCTTTTCAAAAATTCTTTCAGATGTTTTGTGATACTCTGCAAGTAAAGGATTCAAAATTGCTCTGCAAGTAAAAGATTCGAAAGGGTTCAATATACTTTCTTATAGTTTTATTTTGAGTACAATTGTCTTTTGATAGTCTTAATCTATGGAAGTCGGGAACCGTAGTAATGTATGTAAGCTTTTGACTCAGGGTACATGCAGCAGCTGTTTGTACACTTCCTTCAACTTCGGGAACAATATGCTGTTGCTCTTATTTTTCCTCTCTTTTTTTGAACTCTTTATTTTGTCTCTTGCCCGTCCGGTTTTAGTTCCTGAAACTAAAGAAGTGGTGAGCCACAAGTACAAGACGCCAATGGTGAGTCATCTACTATATTGTCTGGTTAGTTTTATTCTCCTGTCCAGCACTGTGGATATGAACATTCAGCTATCAATTTTGTTAATTTTGAAAATTTGTTGGGTTGAACTATTTTGTATAAAAAACAGTTAATTCTTTTTAAAAAGCGCTAGAGCTTCTTAATTTGGATATGACAGCAGTACAGCTGCTATTGGTGAAACCCTACTTCTTGATTCCATTTTCAAAAATTAGAAATCTATTTTTCAGACATTTGAAAAGCCTAGGCTAATAAAATAAGTGAGAATCTTTAATTCCATTACTTGAGTCTTCTCTTTCATAAACCTAAACATATTTGCACTGATAAGAGAACTTAGGATCATCGATTTGGAAGGGACCACACAGGCCATCCAGCCCAAATCCCCTGCCATGCAGGAAAAGCAGAATCAAAGTACCCCCAAGCCACTGTTTAAAAGTCACCAGATTAAGGAGCCTCCTCTACACTATGAGGCAGAGAGTTCACTGTTGAACAACTCTTACAGTCAGGGCTATAACCACTTTAAATCATTCCCAGTTTTCATCACGCTATTTTATTTTATTTATTTGTGTCATACTCTGCATCATAGGATATTAGGACAATTTCAAATAAAATAATTTTAACCAGTAAAAGCACAATTTGGATAAGTTAAAAGCTTATTAATAAGACAGTTACAATAAGTTAAAACAGCATGACTGAATTGAGCTTAAAATAAGAATCGAATTCTGAAGCATGTTATATCAAAACACATGATTTAATAGTTTATGTTTTTATTTTAAAATTATGTGTAAAAGTCCATTTGAATAGATAATAAAGATTAACTGATAAACTTATTTTGATTACTATCAAGAACAGGAAAGATATTTCCTTCTGCAATTTTGATTCTTTGTATAATAATGACCGTAGATTAAATTTAGGTGATCTGTACTTTAAATAGTTAATATTTACATCTAATGCTGAGCTACTTAATCATATAGGCATATTTAGATTCATTGCTTATAAAAACACTTCTAGATTAACTGTATTCAGTCCTGTTCTTGATTTGATCTCCAGGTATTGCATGTTTCCCATCATTATGAGTGGTAGAGTTTGAGGAGTTATCCATACAAAAGCATTACATCTCATCCACCAGAGCTCTTTCTATAATCCATCTAGAGATAAAGGATCTTTTAGATGTACAATAAATCTAGTTCTGACCATGCCAACCATAAAAGGAGATTACCAGTGTCTCATTATCTCACTTTCTGATGTCTTTTAGGCTCATGAGATCTGCTACTCGGTATTGTGTCTCTTCTCTTACGTGGCTGCAGTTCGTGGGAAGGAAGCAGAAAGCAAAAACAAACCTCCTCGTCCAGTGTCCAGCTGATCAAGGGTCACTGATGGGAAATGTGTTGGCGTGTAATACTCCAATTTCTGTTGTTCTTACAGGAATTCATATAGCCATCTCCAATGCAATTTTTTTTGTTTAGTTGACCTGCAAGTCCCCTTGACAGAAATCAGACATCACTGTTCAGTTCTGTGCTGAAACTGTTTTCTCTAGCATTTCTGAGTATTGGCTGCCCTTCTACAATGTTATGATCTGTTCTTGCCAGCCTTGGAATTTGCTTTCCTTGGCAATTAGCTCACAATGAGGTTCAGTTGTTTTTATTTTCAGTGGTAGCATTCTTATTTGTAATCTATTTATAGACTCAAGCCTCTGTGTTCAGGTTTGCTATTTTGCCCACAGTGGGTATCTGCTCAGACTTGCCTGGGTCACCTATTGTTGCTGCTGTTGAAGTGCTATGCTCTTCATTATTTTGTTCTTTACTTATGCTTGTCAACATGGAATTTCTGCCACATGACCTTTCTGTGTTCTTGAGCACCTCCAACCATTCTACAGAAAGGCATGTTTTTTTTCTGAGAATGGAAACAAAACTACACATTAATTATTGTGTCTTTAGAGGAATAGTTAGAAATCATGATGGCAGAAGGAAATAGGCAAGCCTCTTAAGACTGATATGCATGTACTGTACATAGTCTTTTAATTGGAAGACTACCAGCCTGGTAACATTCCAGTAGTTCATCTCGTATGTGCTCATAGTGATAGATGCAGTTCTTCATGATAAGTGTACAGAATTGAGAAAAGGGAAAAAAGTCATAAACATGAAGAATAAAATGAATGGAAGGGAAAACTCACCAAAACAGAGGAAGTCCTGTTAGTTGAAAAATGACATTGTTATCCAAAGCACAATCAGTTCTGTTGTATGGTGTTGGAAATGCTTCTGGTTATGAAAATAATGTTGAGGAATACAAGTTTGTCAATAGTACTCTTCCAAGGCTCTTTGTAGTCACTGTTTCTGTCTAAACTGTACTTCAGGGAGGGAAATCATGTAGCCCTCCAGATGATATTGGATCACAACTCCCAGCACTCCTCACCATTGATTATGCTTGCCAGGGTTTCTGGAAGTTACTGTTCCCTAACACCTGGAAGTCCACATGAGTGGTCCTTTCTGTATATGTATATCAAATAATTTTGCAAAAACCGTGCTACTGTGCAATGAAGCCTCCCTCCCAGGTAAAGTATTCAGGTGACACTTTATTTCTTAGTATGTTGAAAAATGAATGTCTGAGATGTCTTTTCTTTTTAGTGGACTCTAATGCAAAAAAAAAAAAAATGCACCAGGGTGCTTGGAAGAGAGGATCTACAGTATGTAATAAACTCTAGAACATATGAGATTGCTCTAACTCTTGTTGGAGTGCTAAAAAGAAGTAATAAAATCAAGTAAATGAGTTTACTCCATACCGCTTGGCCTGTGAATGGACTGCATTATGAAACAGTTGAGTGGAAAGATGTAAATATTTCAGTACCCCATCTATTTATAGAAAAGTGTACAGTTGTGTGGATGTGAAAAATAAAGTATCCTTAAACCACTATTGACTCTTTCGGTTTGAACCCTATTAGTCTTACTTAAAATATGGATGACTTCATTTCAAACAATTACAAAATATGTAATAATGGAGATACTTGTAATATAAAATAATTCTGTTATTCAAACTATGGTCCAAGCCTACAGATATTCTACATGTGCACAAAATACATACTAAGCATTAAAATAATTCTCTGTTTTGATTGATTGAAAACCTCTGAGATCTGTGGAGAGAGAAGGCAGAGTGATCTTTTGAAATTATGTCCTTTTGACCAGGTGCCCTATCCCAGTTTTCTTGGGTCACATGAATTTATCTGATGGTAGCCGCCAGCTATGTCTGATTAGAGAATCTGCTGATGTATTGCTATTTAGTATCCACATTGCTATTTAGTATCCAGAATTAACCAGTGTAATCCCAATTTTGGAATGTCCTTGGCTTGTGGTGCTGGGAGACCTCCACATCCACGCTGAGACTGACCTGTTTGAAGTGGCTCAGGACTTCATATTTGCCACAATAATCATTGGCCTGTCCAAGTGACATCTGTCCCTGTTCATGCAGTTTTTTTTTCTTTTTAAGGATCCACAAGCCAAGTTTAAGATAGTTTGAACTAAGATTAGGTCTACATAAACTTTACAGCATCTTGTGCAGTTGTATTTAGTCCCAGATTTTCTTCTCGTCTTACAGCTAGGACAGCAACTGCATTGTAGCTCTTCACACTGCAGTAAATTATTTTCACCAATAGGACAAGGTGTTTCGAGTATAGGAATCTTTAATTTGGTTTAATTATGACTCTTCTATTGACTAGATTATATTTTATCAAAAGCTAGAGCTACCAAATCCTGCATAATAATTTGACTCATCCCTCTTTGATCATTGTTGTTGTCTCTTTGAAGCAGGCTATCAAAACAATGATAGTGTATGCACTGGAGATAATTATAAGGATCAGGATGTCTTTGATCACAATATAAAAAGGGAAATTACCTTTAAACTCAACCCAGTTGTTAAATTTGCTATATTTTCTGGTATTAAAAAAAAAGTTAAATGTTATGTCCTGGACATTAGTTGTCTCTGTTTCCCTTTTTGTCTCAGTGAAGTGCATTAGTTGAAGCTAAGGCTTGGCTTTTTTTTTTGTTCGTTATCTCAAGTGACTACTTATTTTTAGATGTCGTTGTCATTCTCTTAGTTTATTGCCAGAGGTGCGGTGGTATACCACTCAAGGCTGGAGATAACGGATGGACCGTGCAATAACTCTTCTAAAACTTATCACTACCCATTTTGGGCTGTGGTGCTTCTATCAGACTTTAGTCTTCACAGGTCAGGGCTCCTTACTGGACTGCTTTGTTGTCTCAGAATTGATGCCTATTCTTTGAATTGCACTCCAAAGATACCAGTGAGGTAAAATGAATCTGTGTTCTCCACTTAAAATTAGGTAGACTGTAATTGTGAAATCATGTTGCTGGTTCACAGCAAGGATCACTAAATAAGTGCAATGATACTTATTAGGAGTGATTTGTGTTCCAAATGGTATATATGTTAGTGTTGGAACAAGCTCATCTTTGGGCTGTAATACTAGGAGAAGTTAAAGGGAACAAAGGAAGGAATATAGATGGTTTGGTGCCTGGGCATGGCCATAGTTTCAGTTTGTTTTGTCAATGCACTTTCATTTTTATTCTTAAGTTAAGAGGAGGAAATTTTGGAAGATCTTTTGCCGTGTTTGTGAGCATACAGTAGGTGCCTTCAAGTTGTTGATCTATTGTGGTCCGATGAATTTATCCGGGTTTTCTTAGGCAAGGAATATTCAGAAGTTGTTTTGCCAGCTCCTTCCTCTGAACTGTAGTCTATAGCACCTTATATTGGCAGTCTCCCATCCAGTTATTAACCAGGGTGACTCAGTATACCTTCCAAGATCAGACAGGCATGTTTACACAGGCATAAATCCTCATGTTTAGGATTCCATCTTTAATCTGATTAAATTTGAGGTATCAGATTAAAGTCAAGGCATCAGCTTGAATTTCAGTTTGTTACATACAGAGGCCAAGCCTTAATGGCTAGCGTATGTTCTTCAAAAATATAAAAATAATTGAATGTAAGTTCTGAAATTCACTAGAAAGTTACTAGTATTAAACCCTGCCCCCCAAACTATTTTACAGACTTTCCATTAAAATGTTATTTACTGCCCTTTATTTTTTTTGGCACTATGTGAATTTAATCATTTGAAAGAAAGAAACTTCTTGACCTATCAACATTATACATATCAGATATACAAATAAAAGGTTAGACAATGCAAAGCAGAGCACTTCTGTTGTGTATTAATTGTTATTTTCTATTCTAGTTGTGCTCTTGGATTTGCTAAGTGGGAAAGGAGCGCCCAAGCTGAAAATGTATTCAAAACATCAAGACTATGTTCTATACTTGCATCAGTTTTGGTGTATGAGGTGGTGGATTGTCCTCTCCAGTTCTTTTGTCCCTGAATACTTTTTTGGTATTGGACAGAATTGTGTAGTCTAAACTCACTCAGGCCTTCAGCCAAAGGACAAGTACATACCTCTTCTCTTTATGTGTTCCTCCCATCGTTTTCTTCTTTTATTTTTGGTGGTGGAGAGAATAGTAGGTTTTTCCTGTTCTCTAAATTTTCCCTCTTTCATTCTACAGTCAGTCAGGTTTTAGTTGCTATTGGATATGATTGATACTGGATATAAGAACATTAATTGTCTTTGGTACTTCTTAATGGAGAGTCACCACAGTGAAGTGTCTTGGGAGTTTAACTATGGCTTTGGAGACTAGGGTCCACTTGGCCATGGAAACTTCCTGAGTGACCTTAGACACACTCTCTCAGACTCAGAGAAGAGCAAAATAAACCACCTACTGAACAAATCTTGCCAAGAAAACTCTGAAATAATTGACCTTAGGCTTATCATATGTTGGAAACAACTTGAAAATACACAACTTTTTCATTTTTAAAAAACAAAAAATATTCCTCAGCTTAGTTTTAAAAAAAAGGAATATGTTTTCATATTGTTAGTTCAAATTCTCAAAAACAAAACACTGTTGTTTTATCTGACACACAGATTAGGCACCAGTTTAATGATTGATAAAAAACTTCATAATGAAATCTTGCACTGTTTTCTTCCTGTTTCATAGAATCATAGAGTTGGAAGAGACCTTGTTTCAGAAGTGTAAAATGTCTGAATTCAATGAGGGGTCAAGCTTATCTAGATTCATCAACAGCTATTTTTCTCCTTTCTTGAATCTTCATCTTAGAAAAATTGCTTACATATTGTATTTTCCTATTTAAAATATACATAGATGAATTATTTTAACTATATATTTATAGGCAACATATCTAAAATGATTTATAAATTGTTTAAGCACATTTGAATAAAGGAGCCCAGTTCCTTGAAGGGTTTTCAGTTCCACATAGCAGGGTAGTAAGCATTTTACTATAAGTGAGTTGAAATATGAGTTGTCATTGCAATTGGTTTAAATTTCTATAGTTGTGTTTCAGTAGGGTTTTTGTGTTTTACAATGCTTTTCTATTAATCTGTCTGTATGCAGTTGAATGTTTTGCCTTATACATTGGAAACTACCCCGAGTCCCTTCAGGGAGATAGGGAAGTATACAAATAACATTTTATTATTATTGTATTATTATAAAAGGGATTATTTCTTTTGTTGGCTCCAAAAATCTAAATCAAGTCCCGGTAATTATCCAAATGGACATGTACCTTTTTGGGTGTAGAACACTCCACTACAAAACTAATAGCAAGCAAAAGATTTACATGGGGGGAAAGCCCTGAGTAAGGTTAAATGTCTCATCTTTCAGTGTCACTCAATTTAGATCACTTTGCAACTGTTTTAAAGGGAAAATGGCAGGATATGAAGGAGTGAATCCTATTAGTATGATCTCTTGCATCAATTGCCGAATTTTGTAAACCAACACTTGCGCAAATCCCATTGATTCAACCATCACTGATGGTTTTGCTCAAAGTGGCAGCTCCTCTTGGAAAAAATGAGCTACATATTTCCTGCTTATCACACCAAACACCATTTTAAAGGGAGCTTCTTGATTAGATAGGATGCATCACTAGTCACTTCCTGTGCGCATCTGCTGGAGGATACGTTCATCACTGATAGTCCTGACCAAACAGCCCCCAGTAATCCTAGGATTAATGGGGGCTAGAGGATAACCCTTGCAGACCTGCAGCCCCTTTCTGGTGAACTAATTTTGGCTGGAAAGGAGAGACTGAGGCTATAAAGAAGGCCCACTGTGAGAAGCCTGTCTGAAAAAACCTACATGAAATGCAAGAACCAACTTTCTTAATGAAATGGAATATAAGATAATCGACTATGATTAAGAGGCTATGACTAAGAGTAACACATCTCATAAATGTAATCCTTTGTGCAAACAGGAGATATGAGTAAATTAACTCTGGAATGTTTCTAAAGAGTTTTTGATAAAAAAAGCAAACGGTTAAGCATTGGGGATTTTTTTTTTTTTACAAATAGAATTGAAGAATAAAGGCATCTAAATCTTTTATAAAAGCAAATAATAAGTTTTAAGTAATGTGAGCACATGATCTGTTTTCTTTTGAATCACAGTAAGATCAAGAACAGGCTATTTTAGCTGGAGTTCCCATATTGACAAAAATATAAGTATATTTAACTTTTGGAGTACATAAGATAATTAACCAGATAATAGGAGGAAAATTAAGCAATTTGGGGTGAAATATTTAAAAATTAGTTCAAGAGGATTTAAATCACGTTTGAGACTCCTGAGAGAAACTGAAGTTTGTACAACCAAAGAGACTAATCAGGATGCCGAAGAGTGCCGTTTTTCTACCCCCAATGAGGGAAATAGAGAAATTCAAACTGGAAAGAAAAATACAGAGAGAAACAGAGACTTCTATAATCTCAGAGAAAAATGAAAAATGTTCTGAACAGGAGCAACTTGCTATGAACAAGGAATTTTATAGCACAGAACAGATGGTGGCTGTGGAGGATTTTC